GGCAGGGCTCCCGCCTCCTCCTACTCCTCAGCCTCCTCCTCAGCCTCCTCCTCCTCCTCCTCCTCCTGCTCCTCCTCCGCCTCCTCCTCCTCCTCCTCCTCCTCATCATCATCATCATCACCCTGATCCTAATCCTCTTCATCATCAGATTCATCATCAGCAACATCAGCATCATCATCATCATCATCAGCATCAGCAGCATCAGCATCAGCATCAGCACCAGCATCACCATAAACACCAGCACCAGCATCACCATCACCATCACCATCATCATCATCACCATCATCATCATCATCATCATCATCATCATCATCATCATCAGCATCATCATCATCATCATCAGCATCATCATTGCCACCACCTCAACCACCATCATCAGCATCATCAGCGTCAGCATCATCATCAGCATCATCATCAGCATCATCAGCATCATCAGCATCATCATCAGCAGCAGCATCCTCATCCTCATCCTCCTCATCATCATCGTAAGAAAGATCAAGAGAAACACCACCAGAATCATCATTATCATCAACTTCACCATCATCAATATCATCAGCAGCAGCATAATCCTCATCATCCTCATCATCATCGTCATAATCATCATCAGCAGCAGCAGTATCAGCATCAGCATCAGCATTGTCAGAATCAGCATCGCCAGCATCGTCATCTTCATCATCACCACCATCATCAACATCATCATCATCATCATCACCATCATCCTCGCCGTCATCGTCGTCATCATCATCAGCAGCATCATCATTAACATCGTCATCATCAGCATCGACAACAACGCCATCATCATGACCAAGCACATAATCATCATCACCACTTCCACCACGATTATCAGCATAATCATCATCAACAACGTCATCGTCATCGTCATCTCCATCATCATCATCATCATCATCATCATCATCATCATCATCATCATCATCATCATCATCATCATCATCGACAACCATCAACATCAGCGTCAGCGTCACCGTCATCACCATCATCACCATCGTCGCCGTCATCATCACCCTCACCATATACATGTCAATCATCATCATAATGCATACACATTTCGTATCTTCATCCACATCATCATCTACATCAAGAAATTATCATCAACAGCCTCAGCATCATCATTGTCATCATCATCGTCATTATTCTCAGTATCATCATCACCAGCAGCAACATCAGCATCATCAACATGAGAAAGAACATGAACATGAGAACCAGCATCATCATCATCAGCATCACCATCTCTGCCATCAGTACCATCTCTGCCTCAGTGGCACAGTTCGCATGCGGTCCCGCCTGTCATTTCGGCACACTCCTCGCGCGTTTCGCGCCTCATAGGGAGCTCAACCCAAGGCCCCCATCATTTCGGCACACCCCTCTCGCGCTTCGCGCTTCATAAGGCGCTCCACCGAAGGCCCCCGTGGGAAGGCCCGCATGCCACCACCGCCGCCCGCCTCGGGCACACCCCTTACACGTTTCGTGGCCCCCAAAACAGCTTCACCGACTGCCCCGGCGGGAAGGCTTGCATGCAGCTGCCGCACCCATTTCGGCACACCCCTCAGACGGTCCGTGGCGCCATCAGGAGATCCACCGACGGCCCCAGTGAGAGAGTTCGCATGGAGCCACCGAATTCCCTGAAACGTGTCGTGGCCTCATTGGGAGCTCCTTCGAAGGATTCGCATGGCGCCACCGCGCCCATTTCGGCACACCCCTCGCACGCTTCGTGGCCCCAAGGGAGCTCCACTGAAGGCCCCAACGGGAGAGTTCGCATGGCACCACCGCACCCAATTCGGCACACCTCTCACACGTTTCGTGACCTCACAAGGATCCCCACCGATGGCTCCAGTGGCACGGTTCGCATGGCGCCACCGCTTCAAACGATTCGTGGCCCCACAGGGAGCCCCACCAGATGCCCCAGTGGCAGGGTTCGCGTGGCGCCACCGCACACACAATTCGGCACACCCCTCATACACTTCGTGGCCCCAAATGGTGCTCCACCGAAGGCCCCAGTGGCAGGGTTCGCATGGAGCCACCGCACCAATTTCGGCACACCATCTATGCCTCGCGAGGCTCGCAACTTCACACGGCTGGATCCTCAGATCATTGACGGTGTACGGCTTTTGAGGGCCCTCGTCATGCGACCAGGATGAAAAACTGGTCCCGCGGAAGGGGTCCGGTCCAGACTTCTGGGGTCCACGTCATGGAAAGATCGCGACGTTGGGGGTCTGGGGCAGGATGAGGGCAAATTCGGATTAAGATTCGTAGTTAATCTCCGCGAGAACTGGCGGATGTGAAGGATGTGTCGGGCGCCGCGGAACATGATTCGTTCTCATCCTAGGCCAGCTTGACATGAGGCAACTTTCAGCCCGAATAAGCCCAGGGCTAAGCCAGATCGAGCGAAATTCAACGCATTAGGACGGTTTTCAACCACGCCTATGCCAGCGGCGATGCTGCAGTCAACCTCTCACGAGTTGCACGAGAGCGGCGGGGTTTGAGCCACTGCTCGCCTGCACCCGCGCAACATTAGGTGACGGGCCCAGCCACACAGAGTCCGAGCAGGTCCCTGACAACAACGCAAGGTGCATTCCTTTGGCGGCACGCACAGGGGGCAACAGAGGCGGGCAGGCAGCTCAGGGGCCTTCTTAGAGGCCACCCTGGCTTCCAACACGACCAGCGTGCTGCCAGCAGGGCGGGCGGGGCCCTCCTGGCCACGGCGAGCCTCGGCCGCGACTCTCCCCCTGCCTGTATCCAGGGGGCGGCCCGAGAGCCAGAGGTCTGGAGACCGACGAGGTCCTCAGTTCAGAGGCACGACTTTGGTGGTCTCCAAACCAGGTGGTGAGACACCCGGTGGTGACCCCGATTCCCCAAAAGAATAATTCTGGGTCACCACCGGGTTTGGGGACACGCGGTCGCCACGAGGCTTCGCGTTTCCTGGGCCAGCCAGCGCTCGAAAACCATTACCCAAATCGCCCAAAACTCACCACCGGGTGTTCTCACCACCACGTTTGGGGACTACCAACGACTGCAAGGCGCCTTGGAGGCTACCGGTCCTCGCCCGGAGGGGTTCTGCCCTCTGAGGTAGGGCCCCCGCCTTCTTGGAATGATGTGCCCATGTTGCCCACCACCACTACCATAGGTGGGAGAGGGAGGAGGAGGAGGAGGAGGAGGAGGAGGAGGAGGAGGAGGAGGAGGAGGAGGACCTCCTCATCCTGCCTTCTCCCCCGTCCTGCATATGGTGGTGGTGGTGGAAGATTTGCCCATCATGGAAGGCCGCCCCTCGCGCCACCCCCCAAAGCGCGCGGCCGACCCTGCCTGCCGAGCGGGTACCCCGGATCGGTCACGGAGGCCCGATCGGTGCACGCCGTCGGCGAGCGCACACGGCGGCTGCCTGTGCGAGGATCTGACGCCTGGCTCGTGGCGTTTGCAGCACAGGATGAAGCTCGTGATGCGCAGAGGAAAGGAAAAGCCGAACGCTCCTCCACCTCCTCCTCCACCCGCGAGGATGGGGGGGGCGGAGGGGTGCAGAGGGGGAAGGAAACAGGGGGAAGGGAGGAGGAATGAGGATGAGGGGGGAGGATGGGAACGGGTGCATGATGGGCCTCCCTCTGCCTGCATCAGAACTACCTCCCACCCACCCACCCCCGGCTCCTCCCTCCACCTTCGGTGACAACTCATTAAAGCATCCCATGCATGCCGTCCTGCTGGCGCTTACAAAAATCGGCGCTGACCGACCCTCATCGACGCTGAATCGGTGCTCTCTCATCGACCACCAAAAACTGACGCACGCGAATATACTCTAGAAACGGAATGGCGAGGACGTTCTCCGTCCCCCCCCCGCCCAACGGCTCCTCCCTCCTCCCTAGTATTCCCTACCTCGTCCCCCCCTCGGCTGTCCATCGCCGATGGCAAGCTGATGTAGAGGCCTCCAAGATAGTCTGGGCAGATGGGTTCGGACGATCGCGCCGCATTGGCGATGCATCGGCGACATCAGCTGTGGCTGTGCATCGCAGCCATCGGGGTCGAGGAAATCTGGCTCCACATTGAGCCGCATAGCCGATGCATCGGCGATGCGACGCGATCCTCCGACCCCATCAACTCGGACCCCATCTGGGAGGCCTAGAATGGTGGGCCTGCCTATTCCTTCCTCCTCCCTCCCCTCCCCCAGCGGCTCCTCCCTCCTCCCTCGTCCGTCCTTCCTCGTCTGGGGGAACCGAAGGGTACGGACTCCGCTACTCCCCAGATCTCTCCCAGGGTGTTCTGACCAGCATTTCGAGGCGAGTCCAGCGGTGGCGACGAGGGCCTCCCAGGAGCCCCGCAGAGCTGGAAACGACGCCAATGGTAGCGGTATCGGTACCTACTCCTCCTCTGATCGCTCCCTGCCTCCCCCCAGCTGCCCATTGTCGATGGCGAGCTGATGCTGCGCCCAGAGCATCGGGGACACACACTCAACCTGGGTCAGCAGAAATCCTGGTCCGCAAGGGTCCCTTCGCGAACGCAGGCTCGCCGCCGAGTAGCTCCCTGACCCCGGGCCAACGGAGGGCAGAACGGAGGAGCTGGCCCCGCGTGGCCCCCGAGCCCAGGCCAGCCAGAAGGGAGTGGCGTACCCCCGCTGGCCCCCGTTACTCGATCGACTGTGGAATGGATTTGCCCAAGGGTTGCTCTCCCTCTCAAGCCCACGGGAAAAGTCACATTATCGTAGACCCACAGAGATGATACATGTGCTTTGGTTCCCCAATCAGTGCCTGCACTGAATGGGTCCCAACGGAAATTGAAAAATCCGGCGAAAATGTTCAGCCGATTTTGGTGGCCGGCTGGGTTCCCAAGTTCCCCGTTCCAGGTTCCCGGGTTCCCCGGGATCCTGGTCATTGGTTCCGGGCCGATTTCGGTGGTTCCCGGGTTCCCGTGTTCCTGGTCGATCCCCCCATCGATCTCTTTATCGATCCCACGATTCATTTTCTCGATCTCATGCTCGATCACACTACTCATCTCACTCAGCCGATCTCACCATCGATCTCATCAAGCCATCCATGGATTGGGGTCTTTCTCCGGTGTAATTTCGCAAGCTCGGCGAACGCATCCGTCCTGCGGTGCAGCAGCTCCGCAGCCCCTCTCCCGCACGAGCTCCAGGTGAGCCCCGAGGGCAGACCGCGCACGACCCGTCCCCCCCGCGGCTGCGGGGCGGGCTCGCCGGCCAGCTCCGGCGGCCGAGGGACGGGAGGAGGAGGGGGAGGGGGAGGAGGAGGGGGAGGGGGAGGAGGAGGAGGCGCGGCGCGGGGCAGCCTCGCGAGTGCCAGGGTGGCAGGGGGGGCGGCTCAGGAGGGACTCAGGGATGAGGGTAAGCTCTCTTGATGATCTTGCACAGCTGTGCTGTAGAGCTCGGGCCTCTTTCTTTTTGTCGTCGTGGCTCGTTCGTTCGTCGCTCGTCCTCCCCCCTCCCCCTCTGACCACAGAAGAAAACTCCTGGAGCAAGGAGGCGAAAGCCTCCTATCCCTCGCAGCTCCCCTGGTGCAAGAGCCAGGGCACGCGTGCCACTTGCTTGCTCGTGGGCCAGCGTTAAGCCCTGGCCCCGGATGTCGACGAACGACGAAGGGCCCGAAGGCGCCGAAGAGGGGCGAGGGACAGAAGCGCAGGACCCAAAACGAAGCCGACCGCAAGGACCGACCGACCAACAGGACCAAAGATCTCAAGGGCTTGAGGGCAAGTCCAGACGAAGCCAAGACGAGAATACATTCGGGTGAGGATGAACCGCGAATCTCTGAGATCTGGCGGCTCTGGAACGCTCTAAGAGCGTTCCGGAACGCTCTGGAACGGAGTACGCCGACGTCGACGATGCATCTGCGATGCGGCGCGATCCTCCGACCTCATCTACTCCGACCCCATCTGGGAGGCCTAGGATGAGGGCAAGTCGCTCCAGGAGGTTCCCCTGGGCATGAGAGGCTTTCTGGATGAGGTCCGAGCAGATGGGGTCGGAGGATCGCGTCGCATCGGCGATGCATCGGCGACGTCGGCGTGGAAAACATCGAGCTCCACATCGACCAGTATCGGCGATGCATCTGCGATGCGGCGTGAGATCCTCCTACTCCGACCCTACCTGGGAGGCCCAGGATGAGGGCAAATCGCTACAGGTGGTTCCCCCAAACATGCTCGCGTCGTGAACATAAATCATGCCGGGAATTTGTCGGTCGTTTTCGCCCCGGTCCTGGCACCTGGACGCGGACGCCAGAAGGGGCAGGATGACGACGACGACGATGAATATTTGGGAACTCCACGTCCCAGCGCTCCGCATGGCTCAGCCACAACGGAGGGAGGTGCAACAGGTCGACAACAACTGACGCGTAAACATATCAAAACAGTGCTACAACAAAAGCACTGCGTGAGGCCCTCCAGCGACGGCTAAAAGGGCTCCGAATGGGCGGAAGAACGATACACTGCATAAACATAAACTTTCGGAGGTCCGCACGGAATTCTTGAATCGGAGCTGGACCCTCCTCCCCGGCGGAGGGGCGCGCCATGCACCGCAAGGAGGGGCCCCAACGCCGATCCCAGGAATCCGCAAGGACCTCCGAAAATTGGTGATAATGCAAGTGTCTGTCCCTCGAGATGAGGGGGATATGCCCAGGGTGGTGGAAAGAGCTTCCGGTCGGGATCATGTAGGGCCCGTTCGTCTCGAGCACCATCCTCTCAAGCGGAACCACCTGGGCCATGTCCGCCCCGTCGCCATCCTGCGGGGACTTCCGCAAATCTATGTTTATGGAACATGTTATTCTTCGGATGGGGAGAAGCGGCAGCCGACTGGTTCCCCAACTGATGGGGAATTCGGACTCCTGCGGCTCAGAGGCAACGAAGGGCAACACAAGGAAAACATTTGTTCTGAGAAGGAAACTGGCCCAGGCCAAACATTGCTTGCCCAGGACGAAGCAAGGAAATACAAGCTCAGGCGACGGCCCCAAATGAGAAGCATCCGAAGCATTGTCCTCACCTCTTCTCGTCCCCCAGGAGGCGGACCCCCATTAGCAAGCGAAGGACCCACACTGCGCTACAATCGACGCCGATCGACGTTAAATCGACGCTGATCGACGTGAAATGGCGCTAGTCGACGATGGATCGGCGCTCTCCCATCGACTACCAGACGCTGGCCGACGCTAGCGAAAACGAGGTATGGAACGGCGAGGGTACACAAGGCCCCCATGATTTGCGACCGAAGCCGCCCACTCTGCGCCTAAATGCCGTAGATGAAGCGGGTGTTCTCCCGTGCCGCCCCGAGCACGTCCGCGGCGGGGCGGCCGAGCATGTCAGCGACCAGCCGCCCAATGAACCGAGGGACAAACAATTACATAAACGTGAACGTTCGGAACTCCGCGAGGATCTCCTACAATGAACCCAGGGGGACACAAACAAATAGGCGCACTTTCCACGATGCCCAACATGTTTCCGCACACTTGGGATGTTTCTGGGTTCCCCTGCCTTTTCCCGTGTGCCCCTGTACTTTCTGAAGCAAGCATGCGTTTATTTTTGTCCATGCCACTTGCCCCCCAATGAGCTGAGCTATGTTGGCTTAGCAAACGCGGGCCCCACAAACAGTATTCCAGCAATCGAACTTCGTGGTGCCATTTACGTGGCGCAATTTGTGTGGTGAAGGCGACGTTGACTTCATCGCGCGCGACAGCGTCCCATGCTGGTACAATCATGTACCCCACCCGCGCGCAACTTGGTTTGCAAAACCCATGCGGTTTGGCGTTGGCTGCCAGCGTTGGCTGGTGCATCGGTGCCGCCGAGCTAGCACGTAGGCTCTGGTGTAGAACGACCAGCTAGCCTGGCGCGACCGACGCGGCCGCGGTGACTCTGACCGCCGGACACTCCCCAGCGCGTGTCGTGGGCGCGCTGACGCGTCACTGCGGAGCAGTGACTCAGGCGGGCGGGTCATCATGGCGACGTCGACAAAAGCAGACACACGATGATACTAGTAGTGATGCCCGTGACGATGATGACGAAAACGACGGCAAGGGCAATGACTTCGCAAATGTTGATCACACCGATGACGACAATGCGGGTTTGAGGGGAATTTCAGCATGCGCGCGCGGTCGGCATCCGCGAGTGCGTCGCGTGGAACAATTTGACGGGGATCGTGCCTCCGCAGCACGCGAGCAAGAGCGTTCGAATAATATCGACACGCAAGCGCAAAAAGCCAGCTAGGTCGCCAGAACGCACGTTTATGACCTCGGAGTTTTCTGAAATTCCGGCACGCGCGCGCGACACCGCGCGCGTGCATGTTTTACCATGCGAGCAGGCGCCCCCCGGCTGAGGGGGGGAAGGGAGGGGCGGGGGGAAGACGAGAAGGAAAAGGAGGAGAAAGAGCACGCGCCGTGCAACGAATTATTATACCCAGCCGGGCCTGCAGCCGTGCCTCCAGGGCGGCGCGCACGGCGGCGCGCCAAACCTCCGCGCCGCCGCCAGCGCGCACAGCTGGCGTCAGCTTGGGCTCCAAAGGTGGTATGTCACTATAGGGGGGGTCGCAAGGCAAACGTTGAAACACAGATTCAGCAAATCTGCGCATGCGCGGTTTGGCGAAGACTGGCGGTATCAACGCGACGCGAACGAGTGAACCCGAGAACTTGGCCTGAACGCACGCCGCGCACGACGACCCTGATAGCGCTGTTCTGCAACCGTCGTTTGTATTTTACGGTGTTGCACGGGCACACGAAACACCGACCACATGAGCCTTAGCTGGCGTTCGCCTCGCCATCATGCGCCACCATATTCCTCCTTCCGCCGGTGCCCCACCCCCTTCGCTTCATCCTCCCGATGCCCATCCGATCCAACCTCCTTCACACCATGCCCCTCCGCCTCTTCATGATCATGTCCCATTCTACCACTGCGCGTCGTTCCTCCTCGCCTTCCTCCGCCCGACGCGCCCCCCCTCATCCGCGCCCCCGTCCCCCACGGCCGTGCGCAAGTCATCCCCCTCCCTTTCGCTCCCCCCCCCCTCCCGCTTTCCTCGGCCTCTTCATGATGCTGACGCTGGCTCTGCAGCCGCTCCTGGGCCCATTTCCTCCCCTCTCCTCCTCCCCCTTTTCATCCCCCAGCCCCGTCGTCACCCTTCTTTGGCATCCACAGCGCGTCATCCCGAGACGCCCGCGCCCCTTGCCCCAACAAACCACGCCCCCCCCCGTGACCAGCCGGGAGATCAGCGGAAACTCCCACCCAGTGGCAACTCCAGCGAATAGAGCGCTGCACACTTGGATACGCGAGCTGTGTATTTCGCCCGCGTGCAGCGCACCCCCCCCCTGGACGAGCCAAGAGAAACGCGATAGTCCCCGCCCAGTCACCACCGTCCGCGATGAACACATTCCGAATACACAGATGGGAGCACGATCTGTGCACGCAGATCGCACCATGTTTTCTGTGTAAACGGTTGACCCACACGCGCAAATACACGGTTGAAAACAAGACCTGTGTGCAAACATCACAAATTGCTGTATATTTCGAAATGGCACAAGCCCGCCACCTCGAAGGCACCCCTACTTTACCGAACCAGAACCGAAATCGACGTCCCCAGCGAGGGGGGGGGATGCGAATACTCACTTCCCTGGCCCAGGGGGGGGCCCGGGGACTGGAAGTACAGGCATCCCTGGCACAGGGCGGCCGCCGTGGAACGCAGCGCCAAAGCTGCCCTCAACGGCCCAACGAAATCCCCAAAGAGGGCCCCGAGGGACCCCCCAACAAGGCCCGACACACGTCCGACAACACGACAAATTCCACATGTCATGGACGTATGGGCAAACCTAGCTCGAAGCGTCGCCGTACACACCGATGCGGTGGCACGGTGGCGGACTTCGCCGCAGGCACCAGGAAGTTTACACGTTAGCGCTACGACTGTGTTTGGCGGCCCTTGCCGCCCGCGTTTGAAGTGCGCCCCGAAACTTTGCATTGGCGGCGCCCTGCCCTCTGATTGGCTGCTTCGCTGTGTTCGGACACCGGACGGGCGGTATATTTCGAAAACGAACGCGCGGCCCCATCATGTGCTTTCCTTGGACCAAGGAGGGACGACAAGGTGGGACGACGGATGGTGGAGCAGGGGCGCAAAAAGGAGGAACGAGGACTAGGGGGGGGGAGCAAAGGGGCGCTCCCCCGCCAGAGCCCGCGGACAGCAAAATGTCAGCGGCCCGCATTTTATACCAAATGCGTGCGATTCGGGTGGACGCGCTTTCTTCGGGCCATTTCATCCTTCACCCGTGCAAAACTCACACATTCTTCCACGCCGGCCTCGGTCGCTGCCCGGGTTCGTTGGCGCGGCGGGGGAGCTGGCGCCGCCCGCGCCGCTGGCGGGGGCCTGGCTCTCCGGGCGGCGCAGGGCCATGCCCAGCGGCGACGCACGCGCGGGCCTTCGGGCCCGCGGCTCTCGTGGTTGCCGCGCAAAGCCGCGCGCGTGTGCACTCCGTCATACATGCTAGAAAGGGGCTCCTGCAAACGGGCGAAGTTTGGTAGACGGCTTCGCGCGCATATCATTATTTGCCGAGGAATGAAGGGGAAGGTCGATACCGGTTTGGCTGCTAAAGTCAACCCGTCTGGTGAGGATGCGCGATACGGATGCAAGGGCCTTGGAACCACATGTCCATGCTTTTGGAGCGGGGCGCGGCCAACTGAAGTGGCCACGGATGCTTCGAAGGGGCAAGGATGCAAGGGTATCCTTGAAATTTTACCCATTCTTACTATGTAGGTTGACTGCATGGTACGAACTCAAAATTACAACGAACGATGATCCAAAATCCGCCGACCCTGTCGGCGTGCGTGAGGGGCTTCTCCGTTCGACTCGTCGTCTCCGTCGTCTCCGTCCTCACCATCCCAGGGCTCTCTTCCTCAAGCGCGCTATCCAAAGCGAAGTTAAACATCGTCGTAATGGAGTCGAAGGAACCCCCTTTCCTTTGATCCCTTCCCCGCAGAGGGGGGGGGGAAGGGGGGGGGGAGGGGGGAGGGGGGGGGGGGGGGCGGGGCAGATACGACGCTCGCCCGGGCGCACTTTCCTCGAGCGGGCACGCACGGGATGCACTTCCTCCTCGTCCTCCTGGTCTCCTCCTCCTTTTCCTCCTCCTCTCCTCCTCCTCCTCCTGCTCCTCTCCTCCTTCTCCTCCTTCTCCTCCTCCTCCTCCTCCTCCCGCAGAGGCGTCCCGGGAGCGGGCCCCGAGTCAAAATACCACCCCCGTAGGGCGCATTTTCCTCGAGCGGGCACGCCCCAGATGCACTTCTTCCTCTTCCGGGAGCACGTCCCAAGTCAGAATATCACACTCCCGGGGCGCACTTTTTTCGAGCGGGCACACAAAGGATGCACTTCCTCCTCCGCCTCCTCCTCCTCTTCCTCCTCCTCTTCCTCCTCCTCCGCCTTCTCCTCCTCCTCCTCATCATATTCCTCCTCCTCCTCCTCCTGCTCCTCCTCCTTTTCTCCTCCTCCTCCTCCTCCCCCTCCTCCTCCTCCTCCTCCGCTTCCTCCCCCCACTCCTAGCCCTTTCGATCAGGGTCGGCGGCACCGGCCGTCAGGCCTCTCCAATCATGCTGCACATCCCCAGAGTGAGCGGATAACCTTTGGGTCGGCAAAGGGGCGGCGACGGAGCCCACGGAGCCGACAGACTGGCATCCAGGCCCAAACGACGGGCGGCGACGATGCGGTGACGGGGCGGCGACGGCGACCACGGAGCCGCCAGACCAGCACCCAGGCCGAGACGACTTGCCGCGACGAGACGGTGAGCTGCGACGACGACCACGAAGCCGCTAGACCAGCACCCAGGCCCAGACGACGGGCGGCGACGAGGCGGCCACGGGGCTGCGACGGCGACCGCGGAGCCGCCAGACCAGCACCCAGGCTCAGTTCAGTTAGTTGGACAACGAAGTAAGAACCACCAAGTGCAAACACCCTTTGGGGAATCACCGTTCGGAGGTCCCCGAGGATTGCTTGCACCGCTTGGACCGGCGCTGCTCCCTGGCGCGCGGAGCGCTGACCCCGGACGCCTCCTTCTTGCGCCAGGTGGGTCTCCAGCGCCGATCCAGGGAATCCGCGCCGACCTCCGAAAATGAACGTTCCCTACCTGGGCTCTGCCTAGAACGGTTCTTACTCTGTGTAAAGCGTAAAGCGCCCCGGGCAGTGTAAAGCGCCCCGGGCGGTTCCCCCAGGATCCGCCTCGCGGTTCCCCGCGTTGCTTATCTCATTTTAGCTTAGCTTATTTCATCTTAGCTCAGCTTAGCTTAGCTTAGCCTAGCCCAATCTAGCTTAGCTTAGCTTAGCCTAGCTTATCTTAGCCTAACTGAGCTTAGCTTAGCTTAGCTTAGCTCAGCTCTTGTCTTAGCTTTGCGTAAATTAGCTTAGCTTAGCCTAGCTTAGCTTCGCATGCCTTAGCTTACCTTAGCTTAGCGCAGCGCAGCATAGCGCAGCACAGCATTAACACAGCATGTCATAGCATAGCATAGCATAGCCAAGCATAGCATAGCATATCATAGCTCAGCATCGCATAGCATAACTTAGCATAGCGCAGCATAGCATAGCATATCATACCATAGCATTGTTTAGCATAGCGCAGCGCAGCATAGCATGACATAACACATCATAGCATAACATAGCGCATAATAGCATAGCATGGTATAGTATAGCATAGTATAGCATAGCATAGCCTAGCGCAGCACAGCATATCACATGATAGCCTAGCATCGCATAGTATAGCGCAGCATAACATTGTATAGCATAGCGTAGCGCAGCATAGCATAGCATAGCATATCATAGCGCAGCATAGCATAGCATAACATAGCCTAGCATAACACAGAGCCGAGCGTACCCTAGCATAGGTGTAGATGTGGATGTAGAATGTCGATGTAGATGCAGGTGTAGATCTTAATGTAGCTGTCGGTGTAGATGTAGATGTTGCTTTCCTAGATGCTCCAATTCCTAGGTAGGGTCGCACTGGGATAATTTATATCATTGTTTGTTCCTCGAGATGAGCGGTATCTGCCCGGGGTGGTTGAAGGAGGTTCCGGTCGGGATCAGGTAGGGCCCGTCCGTCTCGAGCACCATCCTCTCAAGCGGAACCACCCGGACCATCCGCGCCCCGTCGCCATCCTCACCCATTGACGCCGTGCCGGTAATCCCGAAGAAGAAGTTGGGGAACAGCTGCAGGACCTCCTCCACGAATTCGGAGGGGCCGTGGAACGAGTGAATGTGGGCCTTCCAGTCCCTGGGCACCCACTTCCGCAGCAGCGCCAGCGCCTCGTCGGCCGCCTCGCGGATGTGGAGCACCAGGGGCAGTCGCCTCTCCTGCGGGTCCCGAGCATGTGCACCACTACAACCACCTGCATTCCTCCTCCCTCTTCCCTCCTTTTCCTCTATTCTCTCGTGGGGGAGGGCGGGGGCGAGTGAGGTGGTGGTGTGGTATATTTTCTAGCCCCGTGTCTCCAGCGCCAGCTGGACCTGCCGCTCGAACACCTCCAAGGAACAGGCACAAGGCAACGCAGAGACGTTCGGAGATCCGCGCGGATGCCTGGGATCGTCGCTGTCGCCTCCAGGCGGCGACTCTGGCGTCGCCCCCGGCGCGGGGGGGTCCAGCGCCGATCCGAGAAATCCGAGCGGAGCTCCAAAGGTAATGTTTATGCCGCTGTGTGTTCCTGACTACGTACCTGCACTTGGGTGCTGCGATACTCTGGGTCCTCGGCCCAATGCTCCAATGAGAAATCTAACCCGAACTCGCCCCACGCGACGGCCTTCTCCCCAACCTCATCGAAGGCGGCGATGAGGCGCTCTTCCAAATTCTCCTCCTCGTATAACCACGCATTCTTGGGGTGACAACCCAATGAGCAAAAAACACGCGGATGCGCGCGCACTACGCTCAAGCACTCATCGAGGGACTGTCCGTCGCAGCCTTGAGTGATGCAGCCCTCGAAACCACTGCCGCAAAAATCGCGGACGAACTCGTGGACGCCTGCCATCTCCACCTCGGGGCCGGGAATGCAATGGATTGTCAGAGGATGGGGAAACAGAGCCGGTGGCCCTGCACACATCGAATGGGCATGGCGCATCCTCAGGTATGATGGCCGCGATGGGAGCGGAGCGAAGGGGTGATTCTGTCGAAGTGAGGACACTAGCCCCTTCGCGGATGGCTCAAGGCCCCATGGAGAAACCCCAAACGAAGAACACTCCCAGGAGAAGAGCCCGACACGAAGAATGGTGGGCTACCCCTCAAAGGCTAGGGCTCTTGTTGACGCCCGTGCCAGCTGTGGCCGCGATGGGTTCGGAGCGGAGAGGTGCTCCCTAAACACCTGTCGACAGCGATGACAGGGCAGGTGGAGCGTCCATGGAGGGTCTTCAGACCTGCTGATTTGAAATCCGCCGGGCGCTACCACTCAAGGATGCAAAGCCCATGTGCTTTCGGATCATGACTCGGGCATCCGGCGACCCTCGGGGGCTGGGGAATGATATCGGCAGAGGATGGGCCTTGGACGGGAAGGCACCACGAAGAAGCACCCTAGAAAAGGCACCTCACACTGATCATATGCGGCGACTGTGGTCAGGCGCGTAGAGAAGCCACGACTCGTCCTCCGACCTGGCGCGTGGCTTCCCAGAGGCCGTCAAAAGACGATGAGACGATTGGTGGTGCTGATCAGTCAGGCACATGTCGTGCACCACGGCGGGCGCATAGGCAAGACGATGTTTGCACGTCGGCACGCTCGTCAAACATGTGAAACATGATACAGATCCACGTTCGGTTGCACTGACCAGCGAGAGGGGGGGAGGGGAGGAGAGGGGATGGGAGGACAGGGGAAGGGAGGGGCGCGAAGGACTAAAGCTGACGCATTTCGGATGCCCATTGTTGGCGCGGACGTCTTCTCTAGCAGTGGTGCCAGCGAGTCGAAAAGGACATTCCGTGGTTAGACCTACGACTCGGTACGAATCGACGACGTGCCAGCTGGCGGCGACAAGGCAGATGACGCTCAAACCCATCACGACCCACGTGTCCGCCGTCACAACCTCCTTGTTCTCCCCCGCCTCCTCCTCCTCCTGCTCCCCCTCCTTCTCATCCTCCTCCTCCTCCTCTCCTTCTCCTCCTCATGCTCCCCCTCCTTCTGTCGCTCCTCATCCTGCTCATCGTGGCGCCATTTTCTCCTCCACTCCCCCTCCAATACTCCTCGTGATCCCCCACTCCTCCTCCTCTTCTCCTCCCCCTTCCTGACCTTCCTCATCGTCCTCCTTCTCTTCTTTTTCTGTCTCTTCCTCCTCCTCCTCCTCCCCCCCGCTAGCTGCGGAGATCCCCAGAGGCCACCCCAAAGTCCCAGCACGGGGGCCCCCGTCGGGAGGACCCCTGGAAAGCCCTCCAGGGAGGCCAGAGGAGGTGCCACTCGAGCCCAAAACCCTCGCCCGCCCGAACAGGCCAGACCGCCCCCACTCCTCGCCCCCCCCCCCCCCCCCCCGGACTGAGCCGCCGCGTCCCGCTGATTCCCCACCTGTCGCCCGCTTACCCTCCTTCTCCTCCTCTTTCCTCTCCTCCAACCTTTTTCTCTTTACAGATAACTCCTCACTGTCGCACCCCCTGATGTGTCATTAAGGCGGGCTGGGCGTTCCGCCTGAGACTTCCCCTCCGCGTATGACCCCGAAGCTTGGGACGTGCAACAATGTTACGGATGGAAAGCTGGCCGTTCAAAACATGTGGCTCTCGTCTTGGCACCACGCACAACGGGTCGACCGCGGCAGGATGCTCAAAGGCGCCGTGCATGCATCGGGCCGAATCGGATCAGTGGAAACGAATTGGCGGCGCGCACAAGGAGAGTGGAGGGAGGGGGGAGGGCTTCTTAGGAGGCTGCTTCTTAGACGGCGACGGCCTTGCATCTAGAGAGAAAGCCCGCGCCCTCTAAGAAGCAGGGGTGCTTCTAAGAAGCCCTCCCCCCTCACCCCCCAATCCCCCTCTGCGCGTGGCTGAAACGAAATGAAACCGAATCGGATTGAGTCGCCCGGAATCGATACGGAATCGGATCGATCGGATCAAGATGTACCCTGGAGGAGGAGGAGGAGGAGGAAGAGGAGGAGGAAGAGGAGGAGGAGGAGGAGTAGAGGCAAGAGGAGGAGAAGGGAGGAGTAGTACCCTGGATGGGGGGGGCATGCAGAGCGGGCAGCACAGACTCCATCGGCTGCGCTGTCGCAGGGGGGCGCCAGGGGCAAGCAGTTCCCACGCGCGGCTTCTCCTCCTGGAGGGGGCGAGGAGGGCGAGGAGGACGACGAGGAGAAGGAGCTCATCGGGAGCGAGTGACAACAGCGAGAACGAGGAAGGGCGCCAGCACGAGCAGGATGAGAAGCAGCAGTCATGTGGAGGGCAGCAGGGCGAGGGAGAACAGGAGGAGGGAGAGGAGGGAGAGGAGGACGAGGAGGGCGCTCTCCTCCTCGTCCCCCTCGTCGCCCCCCTCCTCGCGCCGCCCCCCCCCGCTGGGGGCCGCCATGTCCCAGGTCTGGCGGCCGAAGCCGAGCTGCGCGGCGGCGCGGCGCTCCTCGGGGGGGTGGGCTCTGAAAGCAAACCAGACACGGAGGGGGGGGGGGGCATTTGATGTTTGTCACTTCGAGCGCGAACGCGTGCATACATGCACTCCACGCTGACCAAACAGCGCTTGCACTTCGCCCGCGGCGCACCCAGGACCCTTAGATAAGGAATCCAGAGTCTGGCAACCTGTGGAAATCCGATAGTGGATCGGCCATGGATATCACCGCCGCCCTCATCGGACAAAGAATCCTCCAGGGTCTGCAGCCTCCTGGGCACATTCCTTAGCGCACGAGCCCACCGTAACATTCACAGGCGAAGGCACGTCACAATCCAAGGCGAAGGCAGGATGTGGGCACCTCACGAGGACTATCGGGTAAGAAGGCATGCTGGGGACAAGCCAACACCGAAGATCTAACACGAAGACAGGATGAGGAGTGGGATTGATCGTCAGCGACGGAGGCACGATCAGGATGCATCGGGTAAGCATGGATCGAGAATCTCTGAGACCCGGCGGCTCTTGGTGGAGGCTGCTATTGCGGTGCATTGCGTATCGTCCTACATGCCTCCAGGAGGCCTGCTCAGATCTGCTCCGAGGCGGCACCAACTGACCACGGAGGTTCCCAAGAAGTCCCCCAACAGGTCCCCGAAGAGAGGCCACGAGTCTCCCAAGAGAGCCCCAAGAAGGGCTCCAGAGCGACGCCGTCGCCGTCGCCGTCGTCCTCCTTCGGGGTCGGCGGCACTGGCCGTAGGGCCTTCGCAAGATAGTTCGAGAACCTCTGAGACCCGGCGGCTCTTGGTGGAAGGGGAAGAAAGGTCGGGCCCCTGACGGGAAATTAGCGAACCCGCCCGCGCATTTCGCTGGCTTTCCCGCCGCCTCCCAGCGCGCCCCAGGGCGCCCGCGTGTCGAGGAAGGCTCCCGTCGGCGGCCCGCTGCGTGCAGCAACTGTCGTGACCGCCCCTCTCTGCAAAGTCCCCCCTGGTCGTCCGCCCCGGGAGGGGATGGGCGAGGGGGGGCGGGAGCATCGGCTACACGCAAGAGGAATGGCCCCAGACAACAGAGCGACCGTGGCGCGGCTTCCGAGGAGGCGCCGGGGAGGCCAAACTCAAGCGCGCAATCCGCTGCCATCGCATTTCGTTCAGCCATCGGAGAGCACTCGTCCAAGGCCGCGCTAACGGCGATGTTGGTGAACGGCGATGTTGGGAATATGGCTTTTGTGACACCGAGCTCACGCAGAACAGGCTATAGGAAATCACGAAACACCGTTTCCTGCATTTCAGCAGATGTGCGAATGTATCGAACGAAAACGGCACAGCGAGTTGTAGGAAAACACGAACCACGCGTTCCTACAATTGGTTCGGCCACGAACCACGCCTTCCTACAATTGGTTATCCTACACCGCCGTTAACTAACACACCGTTAGCGCGTCTACGGCTTGTGAGCTCGCACCAAAAGTCACTCCGACAAAGGGTCAATCGTCGCGTAGCCTTTCCCTCTCGGGCAAGGTCCGCCCAGGACCGCCGCCTGGCCTGAAGCCCTCCCACAGGGCGTCATGGGGCCAGGCGTCGTCTGGCCCTGGCGGCGACGGCCCCATGGAGATCACCCCCGAACAAAAAAACAAAAACATCACGAGCACCTGTTAAACTAGACCACCCTCTTCACGCACCCCCCCCCCTCGCGCAACCCTCGGTTCAATCCCCCACCCCATCCCTTGCGCAAGGGGGGGGGAGTTCGGCCTTACCCGCTCCCCCGCGGCGCCAATCGTAGTCGTCGTTGTGTGCAGGCCCGCCCTTGCGCGAAAAAGGGGGGAATTGAACCATTCCTTTGCCTGCTTTTCAGTTGCGGGGGGAAGAAGGGCCTCAATTTCCTGTCGTCCGGAAAATCTGGGGGGGTGGGGGGAGGGGCAGACTGAGACCCCAACCCCATCAAGCGATCACCGAACGCAGCCTTTCGCAGAACACCCTCCTCGTCCTCTTCCTCCCTCCTCCTTCTTGGGAAAACCAAACAGGATCTCCATACTGCGACTCCCGGGACCTCTCCCAGAGTGCCTTCCGACGAGAGTTTCGAGGTGCATCCAGCCGGTGCGACGAGGGCCTCCCAGACGCCCACAAAGGCGAAAACGGGGCGAGTGTCGCGGTATCTGTACCTCTCCCTCCTCGGATGCCCCACTCCGCCCAGGCACAACGTACAGAACGTACTCCTCCTCCCCAGCGGCCGAGGGGCCGAGGGGCAGCTCGGCGACACCGATTGGGGGCCCGCGTCCGTCCGTAGTGGTGAGCTGATCCCAGGTGCGCATGTCGCCCCCGAAGACGTAGCCCGCCTGTGCGCACCCTCCTCCCCTGCACCTCACTCCCTTCTACCCCCGCGCTGACCTCCGAGACCCCCTCGCGTCGTCAACAGAAATGACAACGCACGGCCCGTCCATACTTTTGGTCTCGGGAGCCCTTCCTGGGCCTCGGGGCCGTCGAACAACGACCCAGGATGAAATGCCAGTCCGTGGAAAAAGGATCCAGACCTCTGGGGGTCCACGCTGTGGAAGATCGCGACGTCTCCCTCCTCGACTTTCTTGTCCGTGGGAATTCGAGCTGGCCTTGACAGCCTTTTCCTACAGGATTGCACCCAAGGCCCCAAGAGTGGCCCCAAGATGACCCCCGACGCGGCCCCAAGACGGCCCCGAGAGGCCCAGGCCTCCCAGAGGCCCTCCCACAGACAGCCAAAGGCCTCCGCACCAAAAACGGACACGAACGGCTCCCGAGAGGCCCTCGAGCGGCCCCGGAGAGGCTGCAACCCGCGTCTTCAGCACAACCACCTGCACGCTGCGCTGCTGCCCTGGACCGGTCGCGGGGGTTTGCCGCAGGCAGCTGGATACCGTCCTCCCCCAGCATCCCCCCCCTGATTCGCTTGCCCTTCGAGCGTTCGTTGGGGCGCCTTCATCGGGGCAGCACGAGCTCGCCAGAGCGAGGCAACGACGCGACTGCCGGTGAGATGCCATCACGCAAGCTCATTTGCCAATGCATCGCTAAACCTGCATGCACCCAAGCATCTAGCAGCAGGCGTTACAGATGATACCTTCCATCGACGCCAAGTCTGATACAGGACATAACGCTTGAGGTTCGCCCAAACAGGCAAATGCCCGCTAACCGCGCTGAAGCCTCCTTCAACGCCCTGGCAATTCGTGTCGTGACGACCTCGGCAATGGCTTCTGACATCGCAGGGATCCTTCAACCGTGAGCGGTCGCGGCTTTCCGACATCGCATATGGTTCGACGTCCGCGGATTCTTGGCCACTAGCGATGCTCAGTCTTGAACGCGTTGACACGGCACGATCCTACAATACGTTAGGTGCGGAGCTGCGGGGACAGTTTGAGCAGGGTGCGGACATGGCGTAGCTGCCACGAGCGTGCCTGGAAAGTGTAGGACACGAAGCCTACAAACCAGGTCGGACAGCCGTGCCCCTGAACCAACCTCAATACGAAGAGCAGGCGCGGTGAGTGCCGACGCCGTTCGAGACCAGCGTCAACCGTCAGAAGACCTCTGCCATGGACCAATCTCGGGGGCGAGACCGGGGGGCAAGAGAGAGAGGGGAGGTCCTTCTCAGAAAGCCCTCGCGCCTCGTGAGAAGCCTTGCGGGCCTTCTCCGTTGCGGGCCTTCTCCGAAGCCACAGACGGCTTCTCAGTTGGCGAGAGGGTTTTCTCAGAAGCCACGCCGCCCCCTGAGAAGGCCTGCCCCCCGTCACTCGATCAAGAAAAAACTGCATAAACATAAACTGCCAGAGCTTCGCGCGGATTTCTTGGATCTGCGCTGGAACCCCTTCCTGGCGTGCGAAGAGAGCCAGGCGCGGTGCTGGAGGCGCCGCCAGGGGGGTCCAGCGCAGATCCACGCAATCCACGCGGAGCTCCGACAATTTCTGCTTGTGCAATTCTTTTTTCTTCGACCCATGGTCTCGCCGCCGACGACCGGTCCCGGAACCTCCTCGCCCATCCTCCTGCGTCGCCGACCCCCTGCTCCTTCCCCCGCCCCGCCACTACTCCTTGTGCCCCTTCGAGTCCTCACACCCTTCCTCCAATGCCCATCATCGCCCGTCGCCTGCGCCTCCCCCTGCTCCCACGCCTCTTCCTCCTCCTCCTACTCCTCCTCCACACTGGGGGACCCGAGGGGGGGAGGGCGAGGCGAGGGGGCGACCCGAGGGGGGGAGGACACTCCGGGGCCGTAGGCGACCCGAGGGGGGGAGGGCGAGGAGAAGGAGGAGGGGGAGGAAGAGGAGGAGGAGGAGGAGGAGGAGGAGGAGGAGGAGGAAGAGGAGGAGGAGGAGGACGGGTCGCCTAAGCCCTTCGGAGAAACCCTCCACTCCAACCCTGGCATGAGAACGGATCCGTATCCCAGACCCCTGAGGCTCAACGACCACAAGAGAAGGTCCCCAAGCCCCAGAAGCCTGGAAACGCAAGAGCCACCCGTGGACTGGAGGGTTTCTCCGAAGGGCTTAGGCGACCCTCCCCCCTCCTCCTCCTCCTCCTCCCCTCCTCTCCTCCCCTCTTCCTCCTCCCTCCTCCTCCGCCTCCTCCTCCCCCTCCCCCTCTCCTCCAACTCCTCCGCCTCCGCCTCCTCCTCCTCCTCCTCTTCCTCCTGCTCCTCCTCCTCCTGCTCCTCCTCCTGCTCCTCCTCCTCCTCCTCCGCGGGTCGTTTACGGCCCCTGGGGAAACCGTGCACCATGGGCACGCTCCCCTCGGCACGTAGTTCCTGAGAAACCAAAACGTACCGATACCGCTACTCCCCGGACCTCTCTCGGGGTGCGTTATGGCGAGCATTTCGAGGCGAATCCAGCGGTGGCGACCATGGCGGCCAAGGAGGCCCAAGAAAGGGGAAAACGAGGGAAGGGTAGAGGTATGGGTACCTTTCCCTCCTCTGATTTCCTTCATTGCGACGCCTCCTCATTCTAGTCATCCTCGACCCCCTCGTCCCCGCGTCGCCGGCTTGCGGGAGCCGAAGAACATCTCGTTCCAGGAGCCCTGGTCCTCCCCCAGCACTGCGAGGTGTCGGCGCGTCTCCTGGGTGAGCAGCACGAGGGGGGACAGGACGAAGAAAAGGATTATCCCAGTGCGACCCTACCTAGGAGTTGGAACCCCTAGGAAAGCAACATTAGTAGTATCAGTAACGCTGAGCTAAAGCTAAGCTAAAGCTAAGCTAAAGCTAAGCTGAAGCTGAGCCACAGCTAAACTAAAGCTAAGCTAAAGCTAAGCTAAAGCTGCGCAGCAGCTAAGCTAAAGCTAAGCTACAGCTAAGCTAAAGCTAAGCTAAAGCTAAGCTAAAGCTAAGCTAAAGCTAAGCTAAAGCTAAGCTAAAGCTAAGCCACAGCTAAGCTCAAGCTAAGCTCAAGCTAAGCTAAAGCTAAGCTAAAGCTAAGCTAAAGCTAAGCTAAAGCTAAGCTAAAGCTAAGCTAAAGCTAAGCTAAACGCTAAGCGAAACGCTAAGCGAAACGCTAAGCTAAAGCTAAGCTACAGCTAAGCTAAAGCTAAGCTAAAGCTAAGCTAAAGCTAAACTAAAGCTAAAGCTAAAGCTCCCAGGGGACTGGGGGGAACCGCTCCCAGGGGACTGGGGGAACCGCCCGGGGCGTGTTACACTGCCCGGCCCCTTTAAGCTAAGAGAGTAAGAACCCTTCTAGGCAGAGCCTAGGTAGGGAATGAGGATCGGATCGGAAACGCCGGGGACGCTCTCAAGCTTCAAAGCAAAAGTCTGGCCCAAAGGACTCGCAGCACTCAATCTGACCCCTGCGACGGCACTGATTCAAAGCGGGGCCCCTGCCGCGGGAAGGGCCCCCCATCGGGCCCCGACGTCAGGCACCCTCTGGGGGCGAGGGCCCCTTTTTGGGCGCCTGCGGGCGCCAGCAGATTGACGAAACCGCAGCCGCAGAGGCCCCCTGGAGGGCGGCCTGGGGGCGTGGAGCCCCCCTGGCTCTCGGCGACAGCCGAAGGTCTTACGCACACTGTGGTGCCGGTTCTCTAGCCAAATCGGCATCGGCGTGAATAAGGAGGAAGGGGAAGAGGAGGAGGAGGAGGAGGAGGAGGAGGAGGAGGAGGAGGAGGAGGAGGAGGGTGGTGGTGGACTAGGGCTACAGGTCAGTGGAGTACTGCAGCGCGAGGGAATGTGAAAGCCCTTGAAGATGTACCGGTCTATCTCTGGATCGATCTTCACGCTCTACTGATCGCTGGACCTGGGTGTCTTTTGAGAACGAGGCTTGAGCACAACGCCAGCGCTTCCAAGCGCCGTGCCATTCGCTCCCATTCCCACCTCCCACTTATAATCTGAAAGCCCAACCTTCCCTCCATGTCACCTCTGGGTGCTCTGTGACGCCACGCGCTCCGCAACAAGGCGAACAAGCCAGAAACTGGCGGATTTCCCGAGCAATTCGTTACCAACAGCGAGCTGCCGCCGCTCTTAGGCTGACGATCCCAACACCCCCCAAGGCGCTCCTGGGAACGGATGGGCCCAGGGCAGCGATGCCCCTCGATGGCGACACTCCTGGCCGTCGACCACGCCTCACGCGGAGGGCCGCACCTTAAATCCATGGCGCGTTCAACGGCGATCATTTTCAAACAATGCTGGACTGCAACCTCGCTCCCCAAGTCCTCCTGCTCCGTGTCGTTGGCCACGCCGATGGACAACGCCCACATCGGATGAGCAACGGCATGGCTCACGCTGAGCATTTCAACCCACTGCTGCAGGATAAACTCCGCAGAGTGGTTCGAAGATCGGCGGTGGGCAAACCTCCCTTTACTAAAGCACCCGTTAGTATGAACGGCCTGGGACCGAAACGGACGGACCAGGACCCGCAAAAATGACAGCAAATTTGCCAATCGACGTGTCAGGGTAGGCGGCTATTCACCTCCGAGAAAAGAGAGGCGCAAGAGAAACTCGGACCCCGCAGCGGCCCCTCGGAACCAACTGCAGAGGGCCGAGCCCACCAGGGCCCACCTCCAGGGCCCACTCCTTCTCCTACTCGTCGTCCTCCTCCTATTCGCCCTCCTTCTGCATTTTTCCTCCTCCTCCTCCACCTCCTCCTCCACCTCCACCTCCTCCCCCCTCCTCCCACCCCCTCCTCCTCCTCCTCCTCCTCCTCCACCTACTCCTCCTCCTCCTCCTCCTCCTCCTCCTCCTCCTCCTCCTCCTCCTCCTCCTCCCCCCTCCTCTTCCTCCTCATCCCCCCCTTCTCATCAGCCTGCACGGCTCTTCCTCATCCTCCGTCCTTCCGGAGGAGGGCGAGCCAGGCAACGAAGAACCCCGAATCTCCTCGTCGAGCTCATTCCACGTCTGGTCCGTCGGCAGAAGCCAATTGTACCCGTCCCACTTCTCCTGCTCACGCTTCCGGACAGAGCGGGTGCGATTGCGCATCCTCCACGTGGTGATCAAAGTAAGCGCGCGAGCCATAACTGACATCCGAGCCCTGCCAGCCATCCCTTCCAAAGCGTCGATGTTTCTCTATCCGCCAACGGGCGTCCTTGCTGGTTACCCCACAGCGCGATGCGCAATCAGAATGTGGAGCTGTGCACAGTGGAATAAGAATAGGATGAGGAAGATGACAAGGAGGGGCAGGAGGAGGAGGGGGGAGGAGGAGACGGAGGAAGAGGGGGAGGACTGGCGGATTCGCATGAGGATGAGGAGGGTGTGGAAGGAGGGGGAAGGGGAGGAGAGATCAACAGCAGTAGCAGGACTATGAGGAGCGGGGGGAGCAGGATGACCAGGGGAAGGGGAAGGGGGGGAAACGAGGTGCGCGACAACAGCGGGAAGGGAATCATATTCAGAAAGGTGGCCCGCGTTGAAGCGAAATCGCCATTGACGGGAGCAAGCAGCCGATCCAGACAGAAGAAGACCAACATTACATCGGGAGCTCCGATTTGGGACCAACACAGAAACAAGTCCCGATTGGAGACGGACGGATACAATATCAACTGTTTGAAACCTGTGCGCAAACAACAATCCGCCACCGTGCTGTGCACGTTGAGGCATGGAAAAATGCCAAGGGCTGTTTGGTAAGGTTTTGTATTCAACTTAGTGCCCCACCTCTGCCCGCGACTTTTTGCATGCATCGGCCTCCCCGCAACGATCCCTCGTGCAAAAACGTATCTGCGCCACCGAGGCCACGATCCCTCGAAACAAACCGATGGATCCGCGTCCCGAGCTGCCAAGACGGCCCACGCGGGCAAGCAAGGACACAAAGGTTGCCCAAGATGCCTTGAGGACGTCCGAAGATGGCCCCCCAGTCGGCAAAGGATGGCCCAAACACGGCCCAAGATGCCTCCAGAAGGGCAAGAAAAGGGCCACAAGAGGACATCCAGCCATGTCCGAAGACGCCACCATCATGCGTTTCCCGTGGGTGCTGAAGTTTGGGAATGATGAATGTATTCTCGCCTTTTCGAGCCTCCGTCAGCCCAAGAAAGCCCAGGAAGCCTGCCTCCACGATGGCCCTAAAACGGCCACAGAAGCCCCCAAGAGAGCCCTACGATGGCCAATAAGGTACCACGTTGGCCCAAGAGGTATGCACGACAGCCCCAGCTCCAGAGAGCATCCTGTGGGACCCAAAGTGACCTTGCAAGGCCTTTCGACGGTCCAAGACGGCCCCGTGACGACCGCCAGGCACCCACCATACGGCCAAGAAGGCCCCAAGACTGCCCAAGCGAGCCCCACTATGGCGTAAGAGGGCCTCAAGGCTGCCCTAGAGGGCACAACGAGACCACAAGACTGCCTCAAGACAACCCCAAGATGACCAAAACGTGAAAACAGTCCCGAGACGGCCCAATAGTCAAGATGAGAGCTCCTCTAACAGAAGAGACGAAAAATGTCACATGTCATGGCATTTCCTTCCTCCAGCTCGTCCTCGTCCTGCGACTCCTCCCCGTCATATTACCATGGTCACGATTACGATCACGATCATCATCATCCTCATCATCATCATCATCATCATCAGCATCATCATCAGCATCATCATCATCATCATCATCATCAGCATCATCATCATCAGCATCAACAGCATCAACACCATCACCAATACATGAATCATCATAATTATAATCATCATTATCTTATCATCACCAGCCTCATAATCATGAGCAGCAGCATAATCATTATCATCATCACCACCGTGATCGCCATCAGTGTCATTCTCCCCATCACCAACATCATCATCACAATCCGCATCGCCACCACCATCGCCACCACCATAATCATCATCAGTAGCATTATCAACACGACAGTCATCCCCATTCGCATCAACACTCAATCGCAACATCATCATCCTCGCCAACATCAGTATCGCAGAACTCATCAAAGTCCACACCACCAAATCACATAAACCACAACTGTAGCATCAAACTCATCGGCATCATCATCATCATCATCATCATCATCATCATAATCACCAACACCGCAATCCAAAGAGTAATCATCCTCGTTACCGTCATCGTGATCATGATATCCAATACCATCACCATCAACAACCCCCCATCATCACAGAATCCTCGTCAACATCATCAGCAGCAGCATCATCATCCTCAGCATCGCCATCATCATCATCATGCCAACCAGCACCATATTCACCATCATCATCATCATCATCAACAGCATCATCATCAACAACATCATCATCATCATTCTCCGCATCCTCATCCTTATCCTCCTCCCCATCCTCATCCTCCTACTCATCCTCATCATCATTATCATTAGCATCGCCATCATCAGCATCAGCAGCATCATCATCATAACCAGCATCAGCATCAGCATCATCAACAGCAGCATCAACATCAGCATCAGCATCATGGTCATCACCATCATCGTCATCACCACCACCACCACCATCGTCTTCCTCCTGCTCATTATCAACATCGTCATCCTCATCATCGTCATCCTGATTCGCCTCATCAACATCATTGTCCATATCATCATCAACATCCTCTTCCTCCTCCTCCTCCTCATCATCATCATCATCATCATCATCGCCAACATCGTCCATATTGCCATCACCGTCATCATCATCACCATCACCATTATCATCATCATCATCCTCATCATCATCATCCACTTCAGGGCTCTCACAACCCTGGAGACACGAGGCGTCACGCGTCACGGCATCCCGTGCACTCCGGAAAAACCGCCACGCAGAATGCTGGGCTGGCAAGGCGGCGGGACCTGCCGCAGGCAGCTGGATCCGTGGGGGAGGCGGCGCCCCGCTCGCACAGCATCCCGAGGGGGAAGACCCGCACTGAGATCGCGCAACGGCCGGAGGGGAACAAGACGGTCATCGAGAGGACGGCTCGGGGTCTCCTTCCCGGGGTCCCGAGAGCGGGGCTTCCCCCCGATCGCGCCAGAATAATGGCTCCTGGTTGCGGGTCGTGCGGTCCTCGGACCAGGGCCCCATAGCGCTGGCAAGGCCAAGCGCTGTTCTACCGCAGCTCAAACGCATCTTCTTCCACGGTTTGTGTCAGAGGTCCCTGCAGCTGCGCGGCTGGGGCGCTCGCCCAATGGCAGGGAGACGACCGGCACAAACGAGAGATACAGTATCATAGAAGCAGCGACAGCGCGGCGACAGCGCAGCGACAGCGCAGCGAAGCGGCGGCGAGAGGAACCGACAGGAGCAGGACAGGGAGAAGCGAAGCAGCAGAGCGGCGGGTTGAAGAGGGGGGGGTGCGGACAGAGGGAGGGAGGGAGGAGGGCGACGGCGACGGGGGAGGGAGGGAGGGAGGGAGCGAGGGAGGGAGGCAGTGCACGGCACGTGGCTCAAGGAGCAGCGCACAGCAATGGCACCTGTAGCTACTTCCATCAATAGAGGGAGTGGATGCCTGAGCGAAGAGCGCCAGCGCACAAGGCGCACAAGGGGTCGTGTGCAAGGGGCCCGTATCTGTCGTGCTTGTTCTGCGCCTCCTCCCTTCCCTGAAAGAATTAGCCTGACGAAAGACCCAACCATCTGCAGCTGCGAGTACCGCATTGTGGGTACCGCATTCGGTGAAGCTCCTTACTTATGGGGCCACAACCGTCGGAGGGGTGTGCCGAATTGGGTGCGGCTGTGCCATGCGAACCCTCCCGCTCGAGCCTTCGGCAAAACTCCCTATGGGGCCACGAACCGTGTGAGGGGTGTGCCGAAGTGGGCGCGGTGGTGCTATGCGAACCCTCCCACTGGGGCCTTCGGTGGAGATGGGGCCACGAAGCGTGTGAGGGGTATGCCGAAACAAAGACATGCGGAGGGCAGAGGCGAGGATGGGAGGAGGGAGAAAAGTGAGGAAGAGAAGGAGTGGGAACGCGGGTTGCTGTCCCTTCAAAACAAGGACTCAACACCACAGGACCTCAACGAGGACCCGGCACCACGGATCCAATCCCACGGGCATTCACACGAGCCCCGCACAAAGCGCACAATGTCCCCCGCACAGGGACTCCGTACAAGACTCGCACGAGTTCTCGTTGCTCTCGAGGGGGGGAGGGACGACGTGGGGTGGGAGGGGAGAAGGACGAGGAACGCACGGGAGAGAGGGCGAGGGGGGAGGAAACGCTGGGTGCGCTCGCGCCATCTGACGTCCTATCCTTCCCTCCCATCCCTTCCCATTGCGCAGTGTTTCTCTGCCCACAGACCTGGAACACCACTACCGCAGAACAACACAACAACCACAGCAGAGGTGACCGTGGGACATGTGGGACAGCCTGGGAACTGTGGGTCTTGTGCGGCCAGGAGCAGGTCAAGGGGAGAGGGGCGCTCGTGCTGAGGCTTGGCCTACCTAAATTTCGAAGCGGATCCACCCGCGGCGGCGAGGGGGCTACTGGAGGCACAAACAGCAGGAGAAACACATGAGAAAGCATCGATCCTAGAGCAGGAACCAAAAAAGGCATCCTCGTTCGGAGGTTCGCGCGGATGCCTTGGATCGGCGCTTGACTCCCCCCCCCCTTTGGGCGCGCGGATCGCGCCAGCGTCGGAGGCGCGGCCAGAGGGTTGCCCAGAGCCGATCCGAGAAGTCCGCGCAGAACTCCGAATGTTTGTGTGTTGTGGAGCTTGTTCCACCTGTCCTAAGATGCTGTTTTGTCAGTTCCCGTATCATTAGCTGGGGCTATTGTTCTTAGTGTGGCGCATCCACCTCCTTGTCGTTGAACGTCCTGCTTCCTTCCTCCTCTACGACACCCAGAGGAAATACTTCCTGGTACTGAACTCAACTAATCATCATCCGACTTGCAATCAGAACGTCCGTACTGGGACCACTTCAACGATGAAGTCAAGCACATCCAGGCTCACTAACACTCCGACTCTCCTACGCACACTGAGACTCACTCACTCTCAACCTCCCACAGATCACTCACTCTCGGATCATTCACGCTCAGACTCGAACCGCCACGGGGTATGTCATCTTCGCGTTCGCACCCAGACTGTGAGGATGGTTATAGCGGTGCGCTTGCTTGGCGGTACAGACACTATGTTGAGAGCCTCATGATCATCGCGACGTGCCAGGCGTGGAACTGGGGCACCTCAAGGGGGAGCCGACAGAAGGTAGATCAGATCCCGTTCGAGCCCAGGTTGTGGAGGGCCTCGAGCAATTCGCTTGGTTGGGGTCGCCAACTCCTCTGGCATGAGGGCATAATGGCCACCGCGATGTAAAAGACACAACCCTTGCGGTCCTCCAAACGGGAGCCGCAAGAGGGCATTCAGTTTGAAAGCTCGCGCCCAGAATGTGAGGATGTCTCGGGCGGTTCGCTGGTTTGGCGCTGCTGACCGCCCTCCCTGTCTCCTTCCGTTTTCCTGCATGTGGCACAATTCGCATCAACGGCATCCCCGTTGTCATTGCTCTTACGCCAGCGCAGTTACTCTGCCTAGCCGCCGACGTAAAAAACATCGCTTGGAGATGCCAACTGCTATTGGTTGGCAGCCTCATGATCCAAAGGATGCACGAGGCATAGCGCCTGGGCACCGCAGGGGGGCGTCACGCTTGCCCGTTCGCGGCAGGAGTGTAGGGAGGTCTCCTGCGCAACGCTGGTGCTGGCATTCCCGACTCCTCTCCTCTCCAGGGCCAAGGCCCAGTGATCACCGCGATGTAGCAGGCTTACCACTGGGGCACCCCAAGGGGGGGAAAATCAGGAGGGAATGGACGCGGTCTCATCTCGTGTCAAAGCGCCATGGCCACGACGACGTAGGCGTCCTAGCACTGGGGCGCAACAAGGGGGAGCCGCCAGGGGGGCAGGACACTCGACTTTCGACTTGCCAGCCTGGCGCTGACATGCCCAGAAGATGGGCGTTCCGACGACGCAGGGGGAGGCCTAAGCAACAATGCACCCCTTGAGTTTGTGAGTTTCTTCCAGAGCATTGGCTCGTAGTGTGGTTTCTCTGTTCTCCCTCCCCTACTCCTTCTCCTCCCCCCCGCCTGTTCTTCCCCTCCCTCCACAACGTGGCGCCATTAGTTGCTTCAATCGTTTGACTCGCCAGTGCACCGTTTGAACGCCTGGATTGACTGACTGACAACCCCCCTACCTCCTCCACTCAGCCGCCTCCTCCCTCCCTCACCCAGACTCAGACTGGCTCATACATCAGACTCTTTCGTGCTCAGACTCAACCACATTCAGGCCCATGTCGCTGATACTCAGGCTCACCCAAACTTAGACCACCCACGTTGAGATCCACTCGTGCCCAGCCTAGTCATACTCAGACCCATACACACCATCCGCTCAGGTTCAGACCATTCTCATTCACAATTGCACAAATTCTGACTCACTCCTGGTCAGACTCACTTATTCTCGCTCCTCATACCCAAGCTCGCTCATCTCAAGCTCACCGCAATGTCGCAGGCCTAGAACACGGGCAACCAAAGGGGAAAAAGCTGGGCAGGACACTTGCCCGTTAACGCGCAGATGTGGAAACGTTTTGGTAACCCCGACCCCTGCCTTCTCCAAGCCCCAAGTCCGTCCCGATGTAGCAGGCATACCAAGTGGGCACTCCAAAGGGGGAGTCGCCAGGGCACTCCCAGGCGCCACCGGCTAACATTCTCTTAACCAATTGCTCACAGACGGAAGTGCCGAGGCATGCTATGCACAGATCGGGAGATCCGCGTCGAATGACTACATCACTAGGCCTCGGTATCACTAACTCCCGCCGTCTCTTTCTACACTCAGAGTTACTCATGCACAGCTCCGTTCATGCATGCGCAGGTACACTCATACGCAGGTCATCCACACAAGATCACCCAGACTGAGACTTACTCACATTCAGACCCCTCTGCACTCGGATCCATGCATACTCAGACTCACTTGCGCTCAGATCCACTCACACTGAGACTTATGTATACTAAGACTCAGTCTCTGTCACACTCACTCACACTCAGAACCAGCCACGGTCAGACCAGTTCGCCCTCAGAACTTTTGGACTCACTCACAACCACGCTTAGCCGCAATATCAGCGCGATGTAGCAGGCATAACACTTGAGCCCCCCAAAGAGGAGCCGCCAGCGGGTATGTCATGTTCTCGTTCGCGCCCAGAGTGTGGTGCTGCCTCGGGCGAAATGCTGCGCTGGACCCCCCAGTGCCTTTCCTCTTAAAGCCCCATGATCACCGCGATGTACCAGGCGAAGGACTTCGGCGACCGCGGAAGCATCCCCTGGGGTATGTCGTCTTCCACATAGCACTCAGATTGCAGAAATGTCTTACGCGAAACGCTGTGCTGGTGGCCCCGACCCCTTGAATTTTATCATGATAACCGCCGCGATGTAACATTCGTGGCATTTGGGCACGCCACGGGGGATCCGCAACGGGGTATTTAGTTTTCCCGTTCGACCCCAGATTGCTGGGATGTCGCAGGAGGGTCGTGCATTTAGCTTCACCGAGCTGTTTGTTTGAGCGTCTCATGATCACCGCGGTACACGCACTTGAGCGCTCCACAGAGAAGCCGCCAAGGGGGATGGAGTCTCCCTTGCCGCCCCGATTTCTGCTGAGTCTCCCTTGCCGACCAAACCGTTTGGTATCCCCGACTCCTGTCCTTTGAGAGTTTCACAATCAAAATTATATAGCAGGGCCCAGGGCGATGCCACCAAGAGGTGTTGCACTTGCCGGTTTGAGGCCAGACGCTGGGGATGTCTCGTGCGAAACGCTGGTGCTGGCACCTCCGGCGCCTCCGACCCTCTCCACTCAGAGCCCCATGATCACCGCGACGCAGCAGGCATACCTCTGGGGCACCCCAAGGGGGGGCACCCCAAGGGGGGACACCAGGAGGTAGGAGTGAACTGCGTGGATTTGAAGCCGGATCAAGCTTGAAAGACTGCGTCTGTTTGAGGACGGATCCGGCTGAAAAGACACGTCGGCCTGAATGTACTGCGTGTTTTTAAAGCCGGATCCGGCTTCAAACACACCCGGAAGTAGGACACTTGCCCGTGCTCGCCCAGGTTGCGGGGACGTCGCAAGCGAAATGCTGGCTGGCCACCCCCCGACTCCTCTCCTTTCGGAGAAATGTAAGACTCGGGTACGGGGGACTCGGGCTGACCTGACGGGGCCATCATGAAAATGACGAGACCCAATTTTCAAATTTGGCGCGAGCTCCCGCTGCTGACATCCCACGAAAACTGGACCGTCAAAATCCAAGACGCGGTCGTCAAAAACTTACGTTTCCCCGATCCTTTCGGAGCCCCAAGGTCATCCCGATGTGGCTGGCATAGCACTCGGGCACCCCGATGGGAAGCCGCCAGGGAGCGCCGGATCGCCCTAGACTGAGACTCTCTCTCTCTCTCTGCCTCTCACGCAGACGCTCACAGCGGATAATGCCAAGACATGGAATGCACAGCTGCAGGGGAGCAAACAGCGGCACAACCATAGACTTTTGGAGCTCCGTGCGGATTGATTGGGTCGGCACTGGGGGAGGGGGGCACGGCGGCGATCCCAACCAAAACGCGCGGAACTCCAACAACGTATGGCTGTGCCGCTCCTTGCCCATGGAAGAGATGTGGATCCCCGACTTCGACCCTCGACCGCCGAGAGCGGCGGCGGCGACGAGGGCGGCGGGGGGAGTCCTCCGAGCCGGCGGCGGAGAGCGGCGACGAGAGGCGGCGGCGGCGACGAGAGCTGCGTCACGCTCGGCATCCTCGAACTTCGACCCTCCAAATCTCGACCGCGGGGAGCGCCGGCGGCGGCGAGAGCGGCGGGGGGGGCCCTCCGAGTCCCAGCCGAGCGCCTCCGCCGCCCCGCGCTCGGCGCCGGAGAGCGAGGCCCAGCCCACGAACCACGTCGGGCTGCCTGGGGCGGGCGAGGGGATGGGGAGCGGAGGGGGGGAGGGCGGGCAGGGCAGGGCGCGGAGGACGGGCGGGGAGGCAGGAGGGGGAGGTGGGGACGGGCAGGGAGGCAGCAGTCATTCACACGTCTTTTACAGAGTCGGTGGGTCTGGCGGCGAGTATCCGTTCCAAGGATGACGGATTTCCGTTCCAAAGATGACACCGTTGCTGTCTTGGACGGTCCCGACAACAACCTGTACCTCATTCTTGCGACGTTGGGTAGAGAATCGTCACGCTTCACCTGGGAGCTCGAAGGTGTGGTTCCTTCGGAAGTGGCTGTTTTAGACATGTATCTTTCCAACCGGCCCCAAACATGCAAATTCACTTACAGGATACATGAGAAGACAGCCGATCCATGGACCCCCTTGGGCGCGGACAGTCTCCAAGCCCCTTTCGTGCACAGAGCGTGGCCGCTAGCCATGACGAGAAGGTTGTTTAGATTGTGCGGTTCCCCTTCCTCGCTAATCAGTACGCTTGGCGGATCGAAGGGCGCCCGAGAGCACCAAGCGCCAACTCTCCCACCTTGCATGCCATCGCGAAGGCGCGCTATCCCGCAATCAAGACTCCTCGTGCAACGCTGGGGAACATGATCTGTCTTGTAGTTCCGTCTTTCCGGCAATGGGAACACATCGAGTTGGCCCGTGTCTTGCGCCGTCTCGACAAGAGATGGTCTGGCGCGACGGGCCTCGAGTCGCATCGAAGGTGGCGGCTAGGTGGCTCCAGCGTGATTCAGAAACTCACGGCTTGAAATCGCGATCATTGCTTTGAGCACGAAGACCGTGTGTCCCATCACTGGGGGATGGTTGGGGTAGGACGGTGGTCTGATCCCTAGATTTCCTTTTCGTGCACGAGGGCAGGCAACAGAGCAAGGGCTCCAACGGCATTTAGGCCCACCGCGCTCAGCATCAGAGGAGACAGCAGGGCTAGCAAAATCCCTCAGGCCTCTTTTGCACGCTCTAGCAGCAAAAAACGCCAGAAACAACAGCATAAGCATCAGCATCAGCATAAGGCTCACCATCATCATCAACATCAGCATGCTCATCATCATCAATACCTTCATGCTCATCAAAACAACAACAACCTCATCATCACCATCAGCATCATCATCACCATCAACACCATCATCATCAAACTCATCATCAACAACAGCATCCTTCTCACCATCATCATCGTCATCATCATCACTGCCACCATCAGCATCATCATCACCACCATCTTCTGCAACATCATCGTCATCGTCATCGTCATCGTCGTCGGCATGGTCATGGTCATGGTAATGGACATGGTCATGGTCATCGTAACCATAAGTATCATCATCAGCAGCATCAGTATCCTCATCAGCCTCAGCATCACAATCATCATCAACACCATACACACCATCATCATCAGCATCAGCATCATCATTAGTATCATCGTCATCATCATCATCATCGTCATCGTCGCCATCATCATCATCACCATCATCATCATCATCATCATCATCATCATCATCATCATCATCAGTAGCAGCAGCAGCAGCATCATCTCCATCATCATCAGCAGCAGCAGCAGCAGAGTGGAGGGAGAGAGCGGGGCAGAGGCATGGCAGGGAGGCAGAGATGGGGGAGTGGAGGAGGAGGAGGAGGAGGAGGAGGAGGAGGAGCAGGAGGAGGAGGAGGAGGAGGAGGAGGAGGAGGGGGAGACAGATGAAGAGAGCGGCGTGGCAGAAGGGGAGTGAGGGGAGTGGAGGGGTGCACGGTTTCCCCCGGGGCCGTAGGCGAACCGAGGAGGAGGAGGAGGAGGAGGAGGAGGAGGAGGAGGATGGGGGAGGGAGGGAGGGAGGAAGGGAGGGAGGGAGGACGAGGAGGAGGAGGAGTAGGAGGAGGACGGATCGCCTAAGCCCTTCGGAGAAACCCTCCAGTGGAGGGGTGGAAGCTGAGAGGGAGGTGGATTTCGCGGGGAGGAGAGAGGGCTTGAGAGCAAGGATAGAGCCGGGTCGGACGAACGGGGGTGAGGTGCGGGGGGTGCAATCAAGGAGGGCAGTCAGCGAATCAGCTCACCCGATTCTCCCAGCGCCCCTAGGCGCCAGAAGCGCCACTGTATCGAGGAAGGCGCCCAGCGGCGCTCCCCCCTCTCGCGTCCGACCCGAGCGAGGAGAGGAGCGCCGCGCGGAGAGGAGAAGGGGAGGGGAGGGGCGGCAAAAGGGGAGAGGGAGCGTCGAGTTTGGAGGGCGTGTGGATTCACACCACTTCCTCCCCCCCTTCCTCCTCGTCCCCCTCCTCATGATCTTCTCCGCGCCTCCTCCTCCTCCTTTTCCTCCTCTTTGTCTTCCTCCATCCTCCGTCCTCTTCCTCCTCTCCCTTCAGGAGGGAGGAGTGGGAGGAGGAGGAGAAGACCAGAGTCAGGCCCCGATCCCGTCAGGCCCCGATCGCGGACCCCGCCCGAGAGGATCGAAATGGGGACAGAAAGACCGGGGGCGAAGGCAACCGCAATCCATGCTCACTTGTTTTGTCTTTGACCAGCTCACGTTGGATTATCTAAGTCTGCTTCGACCAGGCAGTCAGGGTGGCGACCCCTGCGCAGTTCTCAAAATATTAGGTCAATGCAACCCCTGCTCACCTTGAGGACAGGACTCGCTGCTGAAGTTGCCGCGGGCGGCGGCCCCTTGGGACTTACGTCGCCTGGCCAACAGGGGACGACGACATCTGCAAGGCATGGGCTGGTACATGTCCGCTGCCCAGGTGAGCCGACCTCTCAGGACCCCGGGGGCTGGTGGATGTGGCCATAGTTGGGCCCCAAGGGAATCGAGTACATCCACATCAACCGCCTTCCGAGGCCCAGGAAGGTGGTTCATGGTAAGTATCTGTACGCCCCAACCTCCGAACATTCGCTGTTGGGTATTAGGAGGACCAAAAGATACCCGTACTGCTACTCCACGGACCTCTCCTGGGGAGCGTCCTGAGCAGGACTTCGAGGCGAATCAGGCCGTGTCGACGAGGCGAGGCAAGCGGTATCAGTACATTCTCCTCCTCCGAGGAATCGCCCCCGCTTGGAGGCGGCCAGGGGGTCTTAACTAGCTGGGAGCCCATACCATCGGTCAGACTAGACGGGAAGATGAAACCAAATCCGCTCAAAATCGGTCCCCCAAACCCTCCCGGGGGTACAACTAGTGAAATGCTGCATCCTGGACCCGTTTCTGATGGCCCCAGGGCCCGAAAACGGCCCCCAGAGGCCGAAAAAAGTAGAGCACTTGCTCGAGCCTAGAACCTCGACACTCTTCGATGCCCTTCCTGCTCGCCGGGACCACTGCTGCGCCACCTCGGACCCCCAGCCTGCTCCAAGCCCCCATGCTGCGTCCAGCGATGACTCCGTTAGACACAAAGACAGGGCCGTCCAGCAGCCCCCCGATCGACACGAACCTGCCACACCTATGGGCAAACAAGGTGGGCCGACTGATCACCTGGGGAAACGCAAATGGAACACAGCGAACCCCTTTCCGTTTTCTGGGGGCGCCCACGGCCGCGCTGGGCGCGAGGCTGAGCACCCCGCCAGAGCGGCTCTGCCGCCCCCGGGCTACCAAATTCTGCCACGGTCCTGCGCGCGCCGGGGGTGGGAGCAGCGGCCGACGCTGGCGAGCCTGGAGCGCAGCCGTACCCGGAAGTTGGATGGCATAGCATGGGAGCCTCCCTGGTCATCCTGCTGACACTGGTGAATCGGCGCTACCCGACGATCATCGACGCAAAACGACGCGACGTACATCGACGCTATCAACGGCGTTATTTGCTGCTGTCACCCTCCTCTCGCGCACCCAAACGAAAAGCCGGCAGGCGATCCCGGTATTGTTGGCCGGGGAGCCGCGTGTGTGAACGAATGATTCGCGGCAAGCATCACGAGGGACAAGTGCAGAGAAGCCGAGGCAGGAGCACGCGCGACGCTAAATCGACGCAAGTCGATGCAACATCGGCGCATGATCAAAGAGTACCAGACGCTGGCGCACTCTAAAGACGGAGTTATGAAGGCATATAAGGCTATCATGATTTGCTACCGAACCTGAGGTTGACAAGCTCAAAGGAGATGGCAGTCTTAGAAACGCGCCCGCAAAAAAATCCGAGAATCCTTAAGATCGGCATCGAAAACAAATGATGCCAATCATAGGGATGCTGCCGATGTGCTGTCATGGCACGGCGTCTGAACTGACTGTTCATAGGAACGGGTATATGTTTCAGGCTGGCGAGGCCTGCGGTGTGTTCTGAGCCACCTAGATGGTGGGCTTGGTTTCCACCGACACCACCCGTCATGGGAGGGGGGGGTCCGGTTCCCCCCCCCCCCGACCCTGAAAGCGACCACAGAGCGCGCTCTTTCCAAGGTCCCAAGACAGTAACGAAAACTAGTCGGGATGAAACAGACGCTCGAACCGAACTAGCCCAATGTGACAGAAGCGACCAGACCGACGGAATTGCAGACACCCTCGGTGCAGGCGCAAGAAAAGCGATGCCTGCCCTCCTTCTCCTCTTGCTCTTCCCGTGCCCGGGTCCACTTGACTTTCCTGGTCATGTTCGATGACTTGCTAGACGGCTCCTCGAGCTATCCCTCCTCCTTCTCCTCCCCCTCCTGTCCATCTTCTACGTTGTTTCCTCGTCGTCCTGCTCGTCCTCGTGCACCACGTCGCCGTCCTCCTATGCCTGCACTGTTCGGCTGTTTGCCGCGAGGCGTCTTATATAAGCACAACCGACCGCAAACAGTCAGAGGTGAACTCCTCCAACCTGCAAATCATGGACGATGCTACTGGATGGGGTCTGTGGGTGTGATCGGAGATTGAGACTTCCCTTGACTTTTCCACACTGAGACAAGAAACAAGAATGTGTCATTACTGCATGGGTTGAGCAACTTCTTTCCTGCTTGACATGGAGTGAAGCAACCACACACACACGAAACAGTAGGCACCTGCGGGTTACATGCATGCCACGCACGCAGTGCGAAGAGAGCGGTCTTCCCTTGGGCCATCTGGAAACTTTGAGGCAGAGGGCCGAACCCCGCGCATTGGCGCGCAGGAAAAACTGATGTCCATGTTCCAGCCCCCCATGTGCCAACCGGAAAGCGTTGGGCTTCTCTTAGGCGACGAGAAATTTGAGGTCCCACCCAGAACCGACCCCCATTCATTCCCACAGGTGAGCGTTTTTTTGTACGGCGTTTCGACATTGGGAGGAAGGGGCGGGGGAGGGGGCGGGTCTGGCTCCGGACCTCTGCTTAGTGCGACTGTTTGCAGCAGTGCGTCCATCATGGGGAAGGCTCCACCTGCTCGAAACAGGCGCCCAAAGCAGCCAAGATCTACCTCAGGGGGGGAGGGGGGGGGTGCGAAGGCCCGCACCGATCGGCACAACAACGAACAACAAAAACAACCACCGGCTCGCCGAGGGTGGGCCGCGGTCTCAGCATTCTCCCCGTTCGTAGAGCAGCGTGCGCACACTCGAAGTGGAACTGATCATCTGCCAAGCTTGTGCTGGCGCCACGGCTAACATCGTCTTGGTCAGTATGAGCATCAGAAAGCCTGTTCCCCCAAGGGGACCAGTTCGGGTCTCCCTCGTGCAGTTGCTCCAGAATGTAATGGCCTTCCTCGCAAAAGAACAGACTATCCGTATATTGGCCATCGACTGTGATCATGACTCGGGGAGGGGGCTGGACACATACCACCAGCAAGTGTGTGCGTGTGAAGTGGCTCCCGACAGAACCAGTCCATGATCACTCTGTACGTACTGCACGAGATGATTCGCTCCGCATTACCACTCCTAGGGCCTTCAATCCACCCGTCCCAAGCAACTCGCTCGGTAGTCAAGAGGGACCCTCAGAAATCATGCAATGACTTTGCTGGAAGGCAACGACTATCAGCGGCTCGATTTCGCACGCGCCCTTTACGGCAGACTCCGATCCGCTTCCGAACCGACGGTGTCTGCGTATTTCGACGCTCTGGCTGCAGACAGAGGCGGAGAAGGAGGAGGAGGAGGAGGAGGAGACGGAGAAGGAGGAGGAGGAGGAGGAGGAGGAGGAGGGGATCGGAAGGCTGTAGAGCTGCGCGCACGCAACCCCTCGAGGTAGTCGCGGCTGTCCTCCACAGGCCCCCAATGGCAGTTTGTCGCGGACTAGACAGCTGGGGCTGAATACCCTGCCCAGGCAGCCTGTGGAAAGCAGTCAGGACAACCTCTGAGGGCTGTCTGCGCGCGACCCCGAGGAAGGAAGGGAGGGATGGAGGAGGGAGGGAGGGAGGGAGCGATGGAGGGAGGGAGGGAGGGAGGGGCGGAAGAGCGTGGCGAAGGTGGGATCTCTGCCCAACCCCTCACCCCGGCGGGCGGCGGCTGTCCCCAACCGAGGGTCTTCCAGCAGACTCGTTCCTCCTTCGAGAGGCCCTCCCACACCAGCTCCTCCGAGAGGGGGGACACCCAAGAGGCACGTGTGGACAGAGGGGGCGGGATGAGGGAGGAGGGGAAGAGCAAGCGAGGCGCTCCCTGATAGGTTGCTCGAGGTAACCCTGGGGACACTGAAAGCTAACATGCTGACACGCACCACCCGAGTGAGAAGAGGGGCAACGATAGGGAGGGGGACTGGCTCCGTGGGGTGAAACATCGACATAGGATCGGCGACGCAACGCCGACCGATCGGCGACAGGCCCCCTGATAGCAAATCCGCGCGTTCCCGAGCATGGTGGGGCTGTCAGACCCCTACTGGTGATGAATAGGCGATCGGGGGTCGATGCATCCCACCGAGACGATGCCCCCCATACCTGTGCCGCCGAAGGAACCGGACCTCCAGTCCGTGGTTTCCTGACCACATCACAAAACATCCGCCGACGCCGTCGGCGTGTGTGAGGGGCTTGTCTGTTCGAGTCGTCGTCTCCGTCAGTCGTCGTTACCGTCGTCCCCTTTCCCTGCACCCGCCTCCTCCTCAGCGAGATCTGTCAGCGAGAAAAAATCTAGCGATGTCGTAATCGAGCCGAAGGGAAGCTCTTTCCCTTTGATCCATCCCCCGTCGGTGGGGGGGGCGGTCCCGGTGGGGGGCCCCGGCTCCGTCAATCGTCGTCTCCGTCGTCCCCTTTCCCTGCACCCTCCTCCTCCTCCTCCTCCGGGCTGTCAGCGATAAAAAAATCTAGCAATGTCGTAAAATCGAGCCGAAGGAAGCTCTCGGCGATCCCGGTGGGGGGTCCAGGGCAGGTCCCAGGGGGGTTGGTGGTGGGGCCCAAGACAGGCCAAGAGTGGCCCAAGAGGCCCCCAAGACGGTCCAAGAGGGCCTCCCATCGCCAAACGAATCATCTGTTTAAAACGCCTTCACGCCCTCAAGACTGCCCAGGAAGCTTCCAATACGCCCCAAGAAGCCTCAAATACCACTCCCGAAAAGAGCCCCACAAGACAACTCATGTGATTTACTGCTGGCCTTTTCAAAAGATGTGGGAATTCTGGTCTTTTCCGCTCACCGCCGCTTCAAGGCGGCCAAAGAGGCCCCCAAGATCTCCCAAAGATGGCCCAAGAGGCCTCCAACAGGGCCCGAAACAACCAACGAATATCTCAATACACCCTCCCACGCCTCCAAGACGGCCTAAGTGAGAGGGCTCCAGAAATGCGCCCAGAAAAGGAACCCGAACGGACAAATTCGAGCCCTCGGCATCGAGAGGCTCCAGGAGGCCCCACGAGGTCCCCAAGAGGCCCCAAGAGGCCCACAAGAGGTCCACAGGAAGCTCGAGGAGGCCCCAGTTTTTCCCAAGAGGCCCACAAGGGGCTCCCAAGAGGCCCCAAAAGTCCTCCCGAGAGGCCCCAGAGAGCTTCCCGAAGAGTTCCGATGAAGCATCCCTCTGCCCCACGTCAGCGTTGTCGTCGTCGTCGTCGTCGTCGTCGTCGTCGTCGTTCCCCTTCAGGGTCGGCGGCGCCGGCCGCAAGGCCTTCGCAATCAGGTAATTACGAAACAGGAGGAGGGGGACGACGACGACGACACTCATCACATCGTCGACCTCCCACCCCACCCATCCCCTTCTCTGAAGCACGCTCGGCGGTGCAACGCTGGAATGGCTGAAAATATTTCTCCCCACATTCACGGGTTTACGTCCTCACCCTGGCGCCTGAGCAGATCAAAGTAGGCCGAAAAAGAGAAGTGGCATGACAATAGAGCTCAGCATGGGAGGACACAGGGTCGCTGGAACTAGGAGCTGTGCGCACTGACACACAAGAAGCGTACTGCTCCACGAGGGCGCTTGCTGACTTCAGAACTGCTGAGCCAAGGATGGGAACGCTGTCTGCTACTGTCACCAGCATGTCATATACTGGCGCAGCTCGAATCTGGAAAACCAATGGGGAGGTATGCAGACACTCTGCTGCTGCTGCTGCTGCTGCTGCTGCTGCTGCTGCTGCTGCTCCCCCTCTGCCCCTCTGGGCCCTTTGGCCGCCGCTCCTGCTGCTCGTCCTGCGGTTCCTCCTGTCCGTGGAATTCCTAGCTCCCGCTCGCAACGTCTCGCACAGGGGTTGACATCGCGGCGCGGGGGAGGCGCGGCCTCCGATAGCGTGTGATCCATCGGCAGCCTGCCCCCGGCTGGGGGCGCAGCCTCCCCATCATCTACTGTCTACTGCATCGCGGCACGAGTCAGCACTCCTCGGCGCGCTGTCGCATCGCGTTGGCGCAGCCCCGAGGCCGCGCCAGGTGTCGCTTGAAGGAAGGGGTGGCGGTCGGTTGCTCCCAGGTCGCCAGACTAAGCGCAGGGCGCGGTTTGCACCGTGGCGCTGAGAAGCGCCGCTGGTCGACTTCGGGAGATCGGTGGGGGAACAGATCAGACCTCTTGCAGCGCAGCAAGTGCCAGCGCCAAAGCTCCCGAACTGCCATCGCAGCGCGCTGCGGGGTCAGACCAGCAGCGCCGCGGAGAAGCAGGAGCTCAAGAGAGTCAAGCAGAAGCTGGCGCAGCTCAAGGCTCAAGTTGCCACGGCCCCCCTCAGGCTCGATGGCGCGATGGAGGTGGCCGATGGAGGCGCGGGCCTCGGAAGCGACGGCGACATCAGCACGCAACTGGCGGATCTATCAGCCAACGTCGAGCCCGCCGATGGCATCGGCGCGGCGGAGGCGCACAAGGCGCGAGCGCGAAACCCAAGGAGCGCCAGGGCACGTTGCGAAGGAGGTTGGCGCCAGCCAGGCCGCTCGACACGAGCGTCAAGCAGATGTCTCTCCTGTGGGCCAAGCTTGCGAATAAGGCAGAGCGCCGAGAGGCCGACGTCCAGGCCTTCCAAGAGAAGACGTTGGCAGGCCAGCAGGCGGGGGCGGGGGCGCAGCACGTGTCGCGCGGCGCCGAGTAGGAGCTGCTCGAGCTGGAGAAGAAAAGTTCAGGCGTGAGCCAATGGCGGAGGCGCCGCTGCCACCCGGAGGAGGGCGCGGCATGTCTCAGTCGCTGCAGCGGGTGCTCGAGATGGCCTGCGGGCCTGTTAGCCGAGCGCCCGGACGAGTTGCCGCCAGGCTTCGGGGCGCCATGCGGCGCGGCGAAGAAGATGCGCGAGGTGCTCGAGGAGGCGCTCGCGGCCGAGAAGCCCCAGGCGGACCAGAGGGGGGGCGCGAGGAAACCAGACGCGCTGCCGAGGCGCCGGCAGCGGGAGCTCGATGGTCAAGTGGCCCATGGGGCGACCTCGCACGGTGGTGTTCCAGCGGCAGGGGGGTCATGGAGCTGCCCTGGCGGCAGGCGGTCCTGGGGCAGCCGCGCAGGGTTGGTGCTGCAGCGGCGCGAAGCTGGATGCCTCAGCACACGGATGGACCAGAGGTGATCAAGGAATCACCCAGGTCGGTCACCGTCGGAGTTCCCGACGTGGAGGAGCAGCCCCGCGGGGCGGCCAAACGGATGGGCAAGCAGTTCGAGAAGGTTGCAAAGACTGCGCGCGCGTCGGACGAGGTGGCTGCAACCTTTGACTATAATAATTGTATCAGTAGAGGCCTCTTAAATGGGGTCCGAGTAGATGGGGTCGAAGGATAGCGCCGCATCGTCAATGCATCGGCGATGCATCGGCGATACATCGGCGATGCATCGGCAACGCCGGCGATGCATCGGCGACGTCGGCGCGGGGAAACACGGTCTCCACGTCGAGCCGCATCGTCGATGCATCGGCAATGCGGTGCGATCCTCCGACCCCATCTACTCGGACCCCACCTAGGAGGCCTAGCCTCATTCGACTTGCAATGATGGTGGGCGCAGTCGCCGCAAGCACTAAGTCGCATGGGCCATATGGGCCACTGGCGAAGCTGCCGGGATCGAGAACGACGTGTCTAGCGAAAGCCCCCATGGTGTCGCGCGTGCGTGAACATCACTTGGGCGCCGTGCTTTCACGCCTCCAAGCTCGGGCGTTAGCTGCGGGATACCACGGGGCATGCGCGGGGGCGTCTAACGCCGCAGGGGCGGGGGCACGTTCGATGGAGTCGCTGCGCTGGCTCCGAGGGCGCATTCAAGTCGCGATGCCCCCAGTCAGTTTGGGTGTTTATTTCCAGCGCGCGCGCGCGCTGGCTGCTCGGGCCCGCGGGGCGGTGAAGGGCGGCATCGCAGTCGTAAGCGGCCGCTTGCAGGTCGAGGCAACGTTGGCGTTCGTCGCACATCACCGCGAGCGAGGCTTAGACTGGGGGCAGGCCGGACGGAGATGAGGATGGGCACGATACCTTTTGCTACTACAGGGGCCCTCGAGCCAACGCGGTCGCACACTGTGGGCCCTCGGACAGGGCAAGCGGGGACTCGCAGGATGGGGTGCCGAGGAAAAGGGCAACAACACCCCGAACTTCAGCACCCTCTGAACCCTCCATCCGACCTTTTGTCGGATCCGAAGTACAGCTCTGGATCGCGATCGATCGGGATCGACGAGAAGACCGGGGGCGCCAGATGTTCCAGTCCTTGAGGCATCCCATCTGAACCTCACCTTCTCTTCCTCCACTGCTCCTCCTTCCGCCTCCTGCTTTCTGCCTCCTGCCTCCTCCTTCTCCATCACCTCCCTCCCCCCCCTCCTCTTTCCAATGGCTCCCTCCTCCTGGCTTCCCCCCGCCGCCCGCCGGCTCCCTCCCCATCCCTCCGCCTGCTGCGGCGCAGGAGCAGTCCTGCAGGCTGGGCGCGGCCTCGTACCAGCGCAGTTTCTGGAGCACCATCTCCTCGACGGTGGGAGGACGGCGGGGGGGTAGGGTTCCCGGGAGAGGCCACACGCTGCTACACCTCCTCTTCGTCCCCCCTTAGTCTCCCCTCTCATCCTCCTCCTCGGTACTTCCCCGCCTCCTCCTCCCAACTTCTCCCCTCGTCTTCCAACCCGTCCGCTCCGTCCTCCTCGTCCTCCTCCTTCTCCTGCTCCTCCTTGATCATTTGCCTCCTCGCTCTTCCCCCTCCGCTCGTCCTGTTCCTTTTTCCTGCCCCCTTCCTGCCCCTCCGCTCTTTCCCTCCCCATCCTATCCCCTCTTGCCCTACAGCCGGGACAGACTGCAGAGTGCATCCTCCTAAGGGCACAGACAGGCCTCCTCCGAGGGCAATCCGCGCTCCAACACGAAGGGCGACCACCGACAGAAGATAAGGGCCCTCTAGGTACTGCAAAGTTGACCTGAACTCTGGGCACGGCTGTACTGCTCCTCATCCGCTCTCTCCTCCTCCTCCTCCTCCTCCTCCTCCTCCTCTTCTTCTGATCCCCCTCCTCTGCTGGTCCTGCTCCCTTCTACCTCCCCCCTCCGAATCGATCACGCACGCTCCTCCCTTACCGTACCAGCAGAGCTCCTGGATCACCACGGGCGCGATCCTGGATCCTGAACCACAAAATGGCCAAACGACTTCCCCCGCAGTCCTCCATGGAGGTCCCAAGAAAGCCATACACATGCCAAACACTGCCCTGAAAGCATTCAAAGAGGGTCTCCGAAATGCACATGAGAGCCGCACGACACTGCCAACATCGCCCAAGCACGGCTGGAAGTGCCACCCACATTCCACACTTTAGGAATCTAGGACGTCGCCAGTCTATCTCGTACAAGGTTCACCCAAGAGGCCCCCTATCAGATTCCACGAAGCCCAGATAACCATCCCCCGAGGAGGCCCTGCAAGAGGCACTGGGAAGAAATAACAACCTGGCAAATAATTGAAAGGTCAGTTCTGTTTTTCGCTTTCAACTCTGGTCAGTCGTATGGCTCCAGATGTGAACGAGGGCCCGCAGGGAACCTGAGAGAGCCTCAACTTGGCCAAAGGGAGCGCCCATATAATTAGCCATGATGCGGCACAAGACAAATCAAAGAGCACCGCAAGAAAGCCAACAAGGCCTCAAGATCAAATCCAAGGTGGATCATGAAGTCCCCAACACATCGCGAGAAGCCACGCGTGGTTCCCAATCACTTCTAAAGCACCCCAAAGCAACCCCTAAGAAGCTCTAGGCGGCCCGAAAATAGCCCAAGGCTGCGCGGGGACACCCCGAATTTCGCGTCGGGGGTAGAGCGGAGTCCAATATGAGCTTTACGGACGCCCAGCCAAGACCGGCTGAGCGATCGAGCCACTGTGGCTAAAAAGGCCAAACCAGAACGACAAGGAACCCAGCACGAGCTGAGACTAGCACATTGTGGAGGCGGCCGGGAGGTCTGAACGGGGTGCCCAGAAAATTGGCCAGGAGGGGGGATGAAGCTGAATCCGCTCAAAATCGGTCCCTCGACCGCTCCTGGGATATATTCGGTGCAGTGTTACACACCAGACTTGTTGTTTGCTTGTTCGCCGGTGTCAGTGCTGGGCCACCCCAGACCCCCAGCCGGCTCCAAGGCTGGAAGGGCGAGACCGAAATGGCAAGGAACTCGCCACGAGCTGAGACAAGCGTATCATCAGGTCGGGCGTGTCCCCCTACAGGCGGATTTTGGACGAACAATAAAACATGCCCCAAAGAAATACACAACAAATACCCGAAAATTATGTTCAACAAATCGTCCCCATGCTGATTGTTTGACTATTTTTGAATATTCCCTCTGTAGAGGGACAGGCCCAACTTAAGCGTATCATCGGATGCCCCGTATCGCGAAAACCAATGCGGTGGCCACAGCGCGCAGGCCCAGACCAGGGTTTCCCGAGGCGCCCCGAAAAACTAGCAGAACACTCCCCGGTCCTGGAAAGTTCGGTGGCAACTCATAGGAGCCTCCCGTGCCATCTTGCTGGCTCTTGCGATTCGACGCTGACCCACGCCAATCGGCGTTAGCCGACGCTAGATCGACGCTAGTCGACGCTAAATCGGCGCTAATCGAAGCTAAATCGGCGCTTTCTCATCAAATACCCGACGCTAACGCACGCTTTCGAATGAACTCCAAAGACGGAATTACGAGGATGTACGATGCTCCTATGGTTTGCTGCCGAACCCGCCACTTGCTGCGTCCTCTCTCCAGCTCCGGCTCCTCTTCCTCCTCCTCTCCCTCCTCCTCTTCCCAAAGCCGCGCTAACGGCGTGCTTGGGTAACGGTGCGGTTGGGAACCTGGTTTTTGTGACACCGAGCCCACGAATTACAACATGTAGGAAATTACGAAAGGCCGTTTCCTACATTCAAATCTGCAAGTACCGAACGAAAACGACACAGCGAGTTGCGCACTTCGCCGCTAGCTACTAACACACCGCTAGCGCGTCTGCGGTCCTCGTCCTCCTCCCCCTCCTCCCCGTCCTGCCCTCTGGAGACCGGGCTCTAGTCAGCATCGGATCGGGGAATTTGCTCGGGACGGAACGGCTGCACGAGCCCTGCTCTCCCAGATCCAGGCGGCGCGCGGCTCTCCAGGTGCACGTGCGAGTCCACGTAGGGCGCGCCTCGGGCGCGGCCTAACCGACCCCATACGGTGACCAGCACCTTCCGCGACTTGATCCTCGCCATCCAAGCTCCCCTCCGACCGCATACGTACGTCTTGGGGTGAGCGAGGGGCATGTCACGGAAGAGGATGGTCTGTTAGGGGTCGACTAGGCAGCCCCTGAGCGCCACGGTCGCCGTCCACGAAGGTGGAGTGCGCCACCAGCGAGCGCGAGTTGCCGGCCCTGCTCCAGGCGGCAATACCTGCGGGCTCGCGGGGCGCAGGGTCCATCCTCGTCGTCGTCGACACACACGCCGGGCCGCTTCGGCACGGAGTCGAAACGGAATCGGATCGGCTATTCCAAGCCTCACATCAACGCCATGCGACAAGACAGTCGGGCCGCATCGGATTTTTGGAATATCGGAATCAAATAGGATCGGGCTGGCCAGAGTCAGCCATCGTGCCCCCTGGCACTTTGAGGCGTTGTGGAATGCCAGGTGCTGTTAAGTAGCATTCCTGTAATCCTCTGAGGGCCGGCCTCTCCTTCTCGACGCAACCATCTGCATGCACCGCCCCGCCCTTTCCCTGGTGATCCGCGCTCCCAAGGCCACGATCCCTCGTAGAAAACCATGGCTATGCGCTCCCGACGCCACGAACCCTTGTAAAAGCGATGGGTCCGTGCTCCCGAGACCACGATCCCTTGTAAAAAACTATGGACGCTCGCTCCCGAGGTTCCAAGATGGCCGAGACCAGAATCCCGCAAATATGGCCCAAGATGCCTCCACGGCGGCCCCAATGCGGCCCAAGGTGGGCTCAAGACGAGCCAAAAGGAAGCAGCGACGGCCCCAACAGATGCCCAGACGGCCCAAAAGGGCCATCAGAGGATCCCCGTAGGGCCGAGGATACCACACTCAAATGTTTCTGTCGGCTCTTCCAGGACATGGGCGTCTCCATGGCTTCGGGCTTCCTGCAACTACAGATGGCATTGCCCCAAGACGGCGCCTAAATAGCACGCGGGGTACTCGGACAAGGATCGTACTGTGGCTATTGCCTAATGCTGTCCACAAGAGGAGCAGGACGATCATGCTGACAAGGGGGGACAAGCAGGGGAGGGACAACATCGAGGAGGGGACAAATGAGCCCGGGGATGAATACGAAGGATGGAGAGCAGCATGATGCGGAGAGGGAGAATAACGAGGACACGATGACAAGAAAATGGCGGGGAGACCGAAAAGACGGACGACGGAGAACGATAAAGGTTGGAATGAGACGTACTATAATTAGGGGCAGGATGAGGACGACGCGGACGAGGAGGAGGGCGACGAGACGGCGGATCATGGCTCCACTGACAAGGTGAGAACGTGGGGATGATGTCTTAATACCTCCCCACCCTGCAATATTTGCCTTCTCATTCTCCTACTCCCCTCCCTTCTCTCCTTAGCCACTACTCCTGACCTCCTCGTTCTCATCCCTCCTCTTTCCTCGTGGGGTTCCACCTTCTTCTGTCCAAACTACCACCGCTCCCTCAACCTCCATCTCGTCTGTCTCCCAGTGGTACTCTGCATCCTTCATGCTCATCCTGCTGCTACCGCTCCTGCCGCTCCATTCACCCCTATTCCCTTGTCCCGCCTCCGCTCACGCCCCCTCCCCCTCCCCCTCCCCTCCCCCTCCCCCTCCCCCTCCCCCTCCTCCTCCTCCTCCTCCTCCTCCTCCTCCTCCTCCTCCTCCTCCTCCTCCCCCTCCTCCTCCTCCCCTTGCTCCTCCTCCTCCTTCTCCTCCTCCGTCCCTGCCTCCCGCCCATGCCCCTCGCCCCCGCCCACGCCTTCCCCCCCCTCCCTCGATCTCCTCCCCCTCCTCCCCCCTCCTGCGCCTCGCCCCTGCCGAGCCCTCCGCCGACCCCCGAGCGACGGCGGACACCTCCGCTGGGCGAGGGGACGGAGCCCCAGGGCCCAAGGGCCTCCGACGAGCAGTGGGCACGCGGCCCCGGGGAGCCTCTCCGACCCTTGCCGCGGGCTTGAGAGGGCCCGCATCAAGGGATTCCCCGATTCGTGTTCTAACGTTTTACCGGATCCCCATCCACGGCCCACATTTTTCCCGATACGTGCGTGCATGGGGTCGGACGTTGGTGTCTAGCTGTGTCTGCATGTCCCTCCCGAGGGTTGGAGGTCGCTGAGGGTGCAGCGCTGCTTCCGACACCGCAGCCGCCGCTTCCCAGGCCCGCCACCCCCCCCCGGGAATGTGCCGCCGATGGGCGGGCGGCGAGCCGCCGCGGGGCGCGCCTCCGCCCGGCGGCGCCGCGCCAGGCCCCGGCGCCGGCAAGGGCCCGCAACAGGGGCACCCGAAGCCGCAGGCGAGGCGCGTCTTGGTGCGGGGCCGCCTCTCGCCGGGCGGCTCCTGCGGGTCTGGCCCGCGAGGAGGAGGAGGAGGACGAGGAGGAGGAGGAGGAGGAAGAGTAGGAGGAGGACGAGGAGGAGGAGGAGGACGAGGAGGAGGAGGAGGATGGGTCGCCTTAGCCCTTCGGAGACACCCTACATGTCCACGGAGGGTCCGCTCTCAGAACAACCCGAGATGACGACGGGCGGGGCAGCGGCCCGCCGCTCGAGCCGATAGGCATCGGCGAGCGCCTCACGTGCCAATCTCGCCTCTCTCCGACGGTTCCAAGCATTGGCGGTGCGCACAAGGGGGTGGGGGGGGGGGGGGGGCTTCTTAGAAGGAGTCTGCTTCTAAGAAGCCCTCCCCCCTCCCCCCACCCCACCCCTGCGCGTGGCTGAAATCTCGCCTATCTCCGACGGCTCAAACATGGGCCGGAACTTGGTGGTTCTTGGAAACGACAGGGCCGGTCTGTTCACCCTTTCCAGAAGTCTTGATTTCTCTAAACTGAGAACATGGTAAGAAAACTAGCCTGCCAAAACCGAAACAAAAACCGGAACACAAACCATAGACGGAACCAGAAAAAAAAGTTGCCGGAACTGACCCTAAAACATCAAAAACTTGAACTACGAAAAACGCTCTGTAGCTTTCAAGGACTACTGAGGCCCAACACCCCCACCGTAACTCAACTTTAACGAGGTGGGAAGAACGAGATGACCGTTCAAAGGTCGGGCGTTGGCAAAACTGGGTTTCGTGAGACCTGGTTTAATGATCTGTACTGGGGGACGCCCCCAGCGCCCCGTTCCGTTAACCGGAACTGCCGTCACCCGAAAAAACACCAGCTATGGCAGACCGGGTTTAATGATTCTAGCCAAATGAGGGGCTCTGGGGCCCTACTACTAACCGGGTCCCTTTACCTGGGGTCCTGGCTATACCCGAAAAGTAAAGCTTGGCCAATTACTCATGGTAAAAAAACACGAGGTTCGAGAGGTTCCTCCAGCAGCTGCGCCTCGCCGAGAGTGTTCCAACCGGAAGCTTGAGCTGACCCGAAAACCGCGTGGGGGGTCGACCTTCGATCTTCGGAGACCTGGGCATGCGGTGGATAAGGACATACGAGTGGCGATCAAACACAGACCTTACACGAGATGGCAAAGCGACCTCACACGGAGGCGTACGCGGGCAACTTGCGCGCGAATGCTGGCGCAGTCGAACCGATTTTTTGCGCCGCTCAGATCTACTGAGAATTTGACGTGTCTTCTGTAAACCCGATGAACCCAAGAACTTCTGGGGTAAATTGATTCTGCAGTCGATCCCCGATTCGAGATATGGTGATATCTCCCCCCGCCAAAGCTCAGGGCCCCAACGCAGCTGCACCCTTGCCGGCCGAAGCCCCCGCATATCGCTCCCTCGGGCGGTGGCTACGGACACGACCCCGCCACCACCCGGCGCGCAGAGGGAGGTAGGGGGAGGGGGATAGGCTTCTTGAAGGAGGCTGCTTCTAAGAAGCAGGGATGCTTCTAAGAAGCCTTCCCCCCTCCCGCCCAACCCCCCCTCTGCGCGTGGCCGAGGCTGCGTGCCTTCACCCTGGACGTGCAACTTCCCTCTGGCATCCCCGCGCCAGCCTCCGTGGCCTGCGCGGGCTCCTCCCTCCCCCCCCCTCGCGCTCTGCCCCCCTTCGCCCTCGGGCCTCCGTTCGCTCCCGGTGCACCCCCACCGCTTGCTTGGCCGGCGTCCGACTGCCTCGGAGCACGGCGCCCGCGGATTCAAACAGAACTCTTCACGTCGGCACCCGAGGGGCCGTGTTCGAGCCCCCCCGGGCCACCAGAAGCGGCCCGACTGCGATACACGAATGCATCCCCAATCCCGGGGAAGGCGTCGAGGCCTCCGGGGCCGGCGTCGTCGTTTGTCGGCCGAGCGGCTCGTCGTCGTTCGTCCCCACTTGAGAGACGACTCCTGGGAGGTCCTCGGCGGTCGGCTATCTTCGCGAAGAGCGAAGCGCGCGAACACCTTCGCGCGCTCGCGCCGCCCCCGTGGGGGGAGAAGAGAAGGACGAGAAGGATGAATTGAAGAATCGCAAGTCGCGATCGCGAATACCTTCGCGCTCTCGTGGCGGCCCTTGCGCGTTAAGCCTCATTCGGGGGCCACTCAGCGAGATTAAGCCCAGGATGAAGTCAGACTACGTGGGATTAACCCGCATCTGCATTGAGCGGGATTTGGCCAGAGTCAACATATCTCCGACCGCGGATATACAAGTGCCAATACCGCATGTCACCTCCCCGGAATTGCAACCGAGGTTAGACGAAGATGGGATCATCATCTATTCGGATACGGATCGGGCAAATCTGAGGGCCAGCGGGCCTGGGTGACCTATCTGGCCCTGCGGCCTCTCTGGAGCGCCCAAGAACGCTCTCAGAGCGTTCCAGGACGCTCTTCTAGCGATTCGCACTCATCCCGAGCCAACCTAATTTGTTGCCGCCCTCGTTCGTCGTCGCCGTCGTGGTCGTCCCCATCGTCGTCGTCGTCGTCGTCGTCGTCGTCGTCGTCAGCGTGGTGGTCGTGGTCGTGGTGGTGGTCGTGGTGGTGGTGGTGGTCGTCGTCGTCGGCGTCGTCGTGGTCGTTGCCGTCGTCGTCATCGTCGTCGTCGTCGCCGCCGCTGTCGCGGCGTCAGCAGCAGCGGAAGCAGCCGCTCTGACGGCGGTAGCGAGCCCGAGATACGAGCGCCGCAGTTTGAGTTCGCACCGCGCGTTCGCGCCCGACTGCTCAGACCCCTGGATGAAGGGGGGGAGGAGGCGGCGGAGGAGAAGGGAGGAAAATGGCGGAGGAGGAAGGCGCAGGAGGGAGAGGAGAGGAGAGGAGAAGGCGGAGCGCACCCATCAGAGAGGAAGGGGAGGGAGAGAGGAGGAGTAGGAGTTGGAACCTGGGGACGCAGTGCCCCCCCCTACGGCTACGAAGAGGCCCCTCCCCCCCCTGCACCCCCTGAGGCAGGCCCCGACGTCCCGCCTATGAGGACCTTCTGGCCCGCCGAAACAGCCTTCGGAGCCCCTTGGAGGCAGGGGTGGAGGCCTCGGGAAATGCGTTCAAGGTTCTCCTTGCCCTCACAAGGCTTGCACAGACACCTGCAATCAGTCGAGGCCGCCTTACCGCAGAAGGAGCAGAAAAACATACAGCAATGTCTGGCCAAAACTGCAAACAATGCGAGACGTGCACCTCCACGCCGCCCACAGAAATCGGTCCCTGGACCGCCGAAACACCCCTCGGGAAAACAAGAACTCCCCCCAGGTTCGGGGGAGGAGGGGGGACACAAACATTGTCAGCGGCATCCATGACCTGGGCGGAGGGAGCGAGGTCGCGGCAGCATGTACAGAGCCAGCGCCCCTGGGCCTTCACCCGGGAATCCTGGCTGCGACTCAGTGCAGTCTGGAGACGAGACTGGGTCGGCGGGCGGGTGCGCTCGACACGATATAAAATCCAACGGTCTGCGGAAACGTATTCGTGAGCGCCCGGCAAGCCCGACGCCTCACCAGGGCCGCGGTAGCATCCCATTCGTCGGACCGAGGGTCACAACCGACGATGCATCGGGACGCCCGGCCGGCCGCGCGACCAGCCGCCTTATCAGCACACACGCTGCCCAATGCCACGTGCAGGAAACCCCCGCGCTCAACGCACTCAACATCATCATACACCTGGTTCGGAATCCAGACAAGTTCGATATCATCTGGGACCGACCCTCGAGCTGACAGGGCGGCCCTCACATGCACCCACATATCTCCGATACTTCCGAAGCACAACCCAAAAAACTGGCACGCCAACCACCAAGCAACGAACGACAACCAGTGTGGAAGCGTATTTTCCCAGTCGACCGCTCGAGGCACAGCGCAGGGGCGAGCAACTCTGCCCTGGGAACAGTCTACCTGGGCTTGCCCAGGCTGCCGATGTTGATGGCGGCTGGCGTCCACGATCCCCCGTCAGGCAGCAGAGCGACTGCAGCAGCTCCGACACGGCGCCGTCGAGGGCCATCTGCACGTGGGCCGCCAGGTCCGTCGCCGAACACGTGCAGTACATGGCCGCGCTCGGACCTGCACTCGTCGATGGGGCCCCCCGTAGGCCTCGATCCAGTCGGCCCGACACTCGTCGAAGATTGGTGTCGCCAGCTCGGATTGGCACATAAGCGCTGCTTGCACACCTCCCCCAAGTCGTAGCCAGCCTTTTGCTGGCGCTCGGGGGTCCACTGGCCACCACTGACCACGACAACGGTCTGCACCCAAATGTCGAGGTCGCCCTTGGCCATGTAGCGCTGGAGCTCCCGCTGCGCGCGCATCATGTCGGCGCCCCGTTGACCAGGCTGTCGCCAGCAAGATCTAATATGCAGGGCTGCACCCTGCCACATGCGACGACGAAGGTCGCCGACCATGTCCTGGAGCAGCTCGGAGGCGTCGGCGACACACCCGTCGTCGTCGGGCCCAGGGGAGAACCACTCGTCCACCGAGTCGAGCCCCGCGGGTCGCACCCGCTGCTGGGGTGACCCAGGGCGCCAGCCGGTGTTCAGCAGCACAGCTATAACGGCAGCGGCCTGGCCCCCGGACGCGACGCCACCGACGAGGCCCAGCTCGAGTGAGGGCGCCAGCAGTGGAGGCCACGCGCTTCGGACGCGCGCGTGGACGTCGGGCCGAGTCCGCCACAGCTCTAGCCATTGGCTAACCACCTGGCGCCTGAGCTCCAACTCCGGGTCGCGCGGCCCGCGGGGGGCGGCCGGCGTCGACGTCAAGCAGCGGCCAGGGTCCTTGCCGACGGCGGCCGCAGCGGCAGCGCGGCGCGACTCCAGCAGCGACGACGGCGCCAGGCCAGAAGCATGGCGGCCGTAGGTCGCCTGCGGCTGCTCGCCCGTCGCCCAGAACATCTCGGTGATCTTCGCCACGCGGACCTCCTTCCGCATCCGCAAGATCCTGGCGAGGCGCCCCCTAGCAGCATGCACGCGGCCCACGGCCCGCTGCTTGCATCGCCGCCGACCGCGCGCACGGTCCACGCCCAGGTC